CAGTGCCTCGTTTTTATGTGATCACGACCCTGAACCAATCCTTTTAGTGGTAGATGTGGGACATATTGTTAGCTTTTCCAACAGTTTAGATGGGCCTTTGTTTTTATTGTTGGTCACTAAGAATTCCAAGGAATAGAAAGATCTCATGGGCAAAATCAGTTTGCTTTTTTCTTTGTATATTTGTTAGTTTATAGCAGCTTCTGCTTTCCTCCTATTTTTAAAAGCTGAAATGCCTTTAATCGCACTCAGTGTGTTTATTCATAGAAGCCAGAGAAGAGGGTCCATTCCTTTCCCCCATAGCACTGTAATGGAAATTTGGTACTAGATGAAATTCTCAGTTTTGGCGCTCACATGGAACAGCCATCCATCTGCTGGCGAGACACACTGCCCGGGGCTTTTCAAGAAATCCCTTAATGGTCCTGAACACTAATAATATTTATATACATCGAGATGAGACAAAATTTACAGCGGGCTTCTGGAGCTGGCTCCGGGACTCTAATCCCGCACTTGTTCGCGTTCTCTTGCTTGCCTCCCAGATTCTTTCAGGTTGTGCTTCAGTGAGGGGAGCATGGTGGCCGTCTCTGGAGCAATGCTTATTTACACAGTTCGTCCTCTAACAAACACATCACCTTTCCTTTTGACCTTCCCCTCTTCTCCCCATCACATTCCATTGCTACTCCCGCATAGAGCATGTGCTTATGCATAGTTTGCATCATTTAACACAAAGGAACCCCTTGATTTGTGATCCCTTTGAGAAGTTGCTCTGTATATAAAGAAAATGATTTTTCCTGGTTGGTTTTACTGAAGTTCCTTCAGAAATAGCTCCCACCACCGAAACAAACCCGACTTCCCCAGCCTGTGTATTGGTTGTGGCACGAACTGACTGACTGGATGATACAATTTCACTCACTCCTTTGGGAGGTTTTGGGGGACCACTGTTCAGATGTGTGGGAAATGCAGAATATGTCTACAAGTACTTTGTCAAGTTTTTTTTTCTTTCTTTCTTTCTCATCCTGGAAAAGCCCGACATTGATATTTAGGTATAATCATTTGCAAGCAAGTGCAGAGGGACATTTTTCTGTTCTTTTCAACATTCTTGAGTTATTACTACTGCATTAATAGCTACTTGATCTTAATGTCTATTACACATCATTTTATGTAATGTTTTCTTTAAATTGTCAGGGAAAGGGATTCTGCAAGTAGATGTTGGTCCCCCCAGTTAGTCTCTGATGATGACGGTAAGATTCTCAATCAGTGTTTCCTTCCTCTAATGACAAAGCATGGTGATGGTGATGTCTGAAGAGCAACCTCCAGGGACTTCAGTGCTCCGAGATGGGTGTATTCTTAATACTGCTGGCACACGCCTGATGAGCAGGAATGTGAGCGTTGTTTCTCTAGCATTGTTATTGAACCTCACAGATCTATTATACGACGTGAATTTTGTGGGAATAACATAGGCTGAAAGTCTGCTCTCTTCCAGCCTGGTCCCTCTCTCCTTTCAACCCTACGCTCTCTGATCATCATGCCCCTTGCACTGCTGCCAGGTAACCTTTCTGATACGAAAATCTGGCCATGTTGTTCCCTTGCCTAAAACTCTCCATGGTTTCATATTATCCACAGTTGGGCTAAACCGTTTTGGACAGGCCATCGGTGCCTCCCTGAGCCGTGGTCCCTGGCCTTCTTCATTAACACCCAGCCCTTGCACCCATAGTGACCCCATTGCTTTTACAAGCATTTACATGTGATTGCGCCTGCCATGTTCTTTATTCCTCCCTTGCTCATCTTTCCACTTGCAACTCCACAAAACCTTCCCCAGCACCCAGAAGTCCAGGAAACACCAGGCAGCTCCACTCACTACTGTACTTGCTGTATCGTCCATTCCTTGGGGACAGGATTGGCGCTGGTCCTGCGTGCATCTCTCTGGCACACAGGTGCAGCACACATTAAATAGTTGCTAAATGAATAAATGAAGAATAGATGGAATTATATTCTGTTGTTACCAGTTTAAAAACATGAAATTGGGATACCCAATTTCAGTGCATCTTTAGATCTTGGACCTTGACGTGACCTCTGTAATGGATATATTTGAAATTATTAACTGTCTTCAAGTGGGGACTTGATGATAGAGAGAGTGTGTGTGTGTGTGTTTACAGCAAATATACTAAGTTTGTAAATTCAAATTTGTGTTATCCTCTTCAAGAAAGTCACCTTGTCAGACAGCATATATATCCCAACGTTTTAGGAACTCATAAAATGCATACTTTTATGGTGTGATCAGAGATGGGTAACTCCTTATTACTTGTGGGTTAGATTAGTTTTTGGAAATAGCCTGGAGTCATTGAGAGCCAATCCTTATCAACAAAATGGCATACACTGACAGGAATGGGTTTCTTCTTTACTTTATAGATAGCTCTGAAGACATGTCTCAGTTGGGATTAGTTGAGTTGCATATATGAATAGCAGTCATTGAAACAAGATAAAAGTGTATTTTCTTGCACCTAAAGATGTCTGGAGTAAGCAGTCCAGGGTTAGCCTAGCGACCCCACTCTCGTGAGGTACTAAGTTCCTTTTATTGTGCTTCACCATTCTTGATGTTTCACCTTGTGGTCCAAGGTTGGTACTTGAGCTTGGAGCTCAAGAATGCATTACTACTGCATTCCAGCCATCAAGGAGCAGGATGGCCATGCCCTCTCTCTTCTCAGGAGTCTTCCAGTCAAAAAGTTTGTTTATATCTCGCTGGCCAGAACTTAAGTCATAGGGCCACCTCTAGCTACAAGGAAGACTGGGAGATGTAGTCTGTAACTGGATGGCAATATTCCCAACTAAAAATTACTGAAAACGATAAGAAGAATAAATAATGGAAGGCAACCTGTTGTTTCTGTCAAAGGATGACTTCAAAAGAGAAAGTTGCAAAAGTATTTTAAACTTGACAGTATCACAGCAATTTTCTTCAGAGGTGACACTGTTTATTTGCATGTCCAAGTTCTGATATCTGTTTTCAAGTTCACCTATTTGCAGCGAAATAGGAACTCTTGGAGGCAACTAGTGGGTATATAAACTGGTACAAACTTCCTAGAGGACAGTTTAACCCAACAAGATGAATTCTGGAAATTGATCCGAACGAAATGTTAAGGGTGCTCATGAAGATTGCTTTGCTGATTGCAATAATAAAAAGTAAAGGAAATATCTTATAGTTGGGAACAGGTGTAACTTACGATATACATTCTACAATGGGATGTAGTACTGCTGTTAAATGTTTGTGGAATTCACAACCTTTTGTGCCAAAAAAAAAAAAACAGCTTTCAGAATGGCTTGTCCTTTTTATAGATACTTGTATTTATATGTCCATGTACATACATAAGAAAGGACCAGGGAAGGTCTGCATGAAGATATTAATAAAGGGGTCACTTGTGGGTACATGGACTTACTCGTTCTCTGTATTCTCTTTACTTGTTTGTGATCTCTGATTTTTTTCATCATATATTTTTATTACAAGAAAAAACGAATTCTAGAATCTCCACTCAGTATTGCAGGTCAGAGTCAAAAACATACACATTTAAATAATTTTGTATTGTTTTCCAATTTGAGGATAAAGTAGGAAATGTATAATGCAAACCAGATTTCATATTTTGTTGATTTATACTTAATTTACAAGTAAGACTAACAGCCCACAGAGTGTGATCATGGCAGAATTGTTATGGAAATAAATGCCAGCTCATCTATTTGGGATGTACACATGGATCTGTGGTTATTAGACACTGATTTAACTTTAGCACACAAAGAGGCTTAGAGGAAATGGCTTCTAATATCCTGTGGTTCCGTGGGCTCAGAGATACTACTCACCCACCTGTCAGAGGCATTGAAACCAGAGCAACTCCATCTTGAATAGGAGCTAGGTAAAATGGGGCCGAATTCCAGACGGTTAAGGCATTCTAAGTAACAGGATGAGATTAAAGGTCAGCACAAAATACAGGTCATAAAGACCTTGCTGATCTAACAGTTGCAGTAAAGAAGCCGGCCCAAACTCACCAAAACCAAGATGGTGACGAGAGTGACCTGTGGTCGTCCTCACTGCTGCACTCCCACCAGCACCATGAGTGTTTACAGATGCCATAGCAACATCAGGAAGTTACCCTATATGGTCTAAAAAGGGGAGGTATGAATAATCCACCCCTTGTTTAGCATATCATCAAGAAATAACCATAAAAATGGGCAACCACTCTGTCCTGGTTCTTCTGTTCCTTTACTTTCCTAATCAACTTGCTTTCAGTTTATAGACTCACCCTGAATTATTCTTGAGTAAAATCCAAGAACCCTCTCTTGGGATCTGGGTCAGGACCCCTTTCCTGTAACAAACGCATGTTCTTGGACTTGAGAATGACCCTCAGACATGGTGACTTCTTGGTCATCTTACAGGTTAGGATATCATGGCTTATTTGGGGTAACACCTTTGATATCATTAAGCCAACAGAAATTTTCCTGAAGTCATTTTGAATGCTATCATCTTTACTATAGAGTGTAGTTTAATCATTTTCAAAATAAGCATTTCTACACGCTAAGGCTTTAAAAGAGTTTTCAGTAAGGAACATAATTGAAATGCAAAGTGAGCATAGAACAATGCCTTTTAAATTACTAATGAACCATAGGGTTTCTGTTAGGGCTTCCACTGGCTCACCCATGCCTGAGGCAACCTTCGAAAGTGGGTATTATCTCCCTCATTTTACAGATGGGAAGAGAGAGGATCAGGATCACCGAAGCTAATGGTTTGTCCCAGACCAAACAAGGAGTTCCTAGGACAGGCTGAACTTTAAATATATCTACTCTCTGCAGGTCTAAGTGGTTGGGGAGAGGATTTCGTAGTGTGTTTTTGTATTGTCTCCTCAGTGAGCGATCTGGTGCTGGTGGTAGCAGTGAATGACCCAGAAGGATGCTGGCCAGGCCCAGAGAAGGCGGTGCCGCCCCTGCCCCATCTCACCTCCGTCTCTCCTCTGTCTCCACAGTGTGCCCGAGTGCCTGTGGGAAGAGGGCATGCACCGAGAACAACGAGTGCTGCCACCCCGAGTGCCTGGGCAGCTGCAGCGCGCCTGACAACGACACGGCCTGTGTAGCTTGCCGCCACTACTACTACGCCGGTGTCTGCGTGCCTGCCTGCCCGCCCAACACCTACAGGTTTGAGGGCTGGCGCTGTGTGGACCGTGACTTCTGCGCCAACATCCTCAGCGCCGAGAGCAGCGACTCCGAGGGTTTCGTGATCCACGACGGCGAGTGCATGCAGGAGTGCCCCTCAGGCTTCATCCGCAACGGCAGCCAGAGGTCAGTCGTGGCCACACCTGTGGTCACTACCCGCCCCCACTCCACCCGCCACCCTGGCACAGAAAAGTAGACTGTCAGTTGTTTCATCTGGGTGCAGCCCTCAGGAAGTTAACTGAGGTGGGTCAGTTTGAGAGGGCTGGCTTACCTTAAATGTTTGGTGAGATTCTGGGAACAATTGGCATGGCTTACTGGCCCCCCTCACCAGTTTGTTTTATTTTTTAAGTGCATACTGCCTGGCCATTTGAAATTAAGTACCTGCTTGCTGGTTTCAATACCCAGAGTTCATGGTCTCTCTGGGTACTTGCCAAGCTGGCATCTAAGACGGGACTATAGTTTTAGATTTTCCTAGTCTAGGTGTTGCTAGCCAGGTGAGGCTTTGGAAGTGCAAGAGAAAAGACAGGCCAAGCCCCCACCACCATCCTTGAGACCAGCAAGCAGACCTAAACATCTTAGTGCAAGAGCTAGCAGCAGCTCAGAGTAAGCAGTAGCTTAAAATAAGCAACATTTTCCCATCAACACTTCCTTCCTCTCATCCCCCTCTACCTTGACCCTCCCTCAGTGCTCATCATGTCCTTCATTTTCCTTCCTGAACTTTGAGACTTCACTTGGGAAGCAAAGAATTTCCTTATGGCCGGGCACGTGGCTCACGCCTGTAATCTCAACACTTTGGGAGGCTGAGGTGCATGGATCACCTGAGGTCAGAGTTTGAGACCAGCCTGGCCAAGGTGGTGAAACCCTGTCTCTACTAAAAATACAGAAATTAGCCGGGTATGGTGGACGTGCCTGTAGTCCCAGCTACTCGGGAGGCCGAGGCAGGAGAATTCCTTGAACCTGGGAGGCAGAGGTTGCAGTGAGCCAAGATCACACCACTTCATTCCATCCTGGGCGACAGAGCGAGACTCTGTCTCCAAAAAAAAAAAAAAAATGGAGTTTCTTATAACAAATGCCATCCCTTTTGTACATGTCAACTGGACTTCTACAAATTTGTCATTGGTTTATGCTTTTGAAAATAAGATGCTAACATTGTTTAGAAATGTGGTAACTATAACTTTGAAAGCAAAAGAAGATTGGGTTTATGCTTTTGAAAATAAGATGCTAGCATTGTTTAGAAATGTGGGAACTACAATTTTGAAAGCAAAAGAAGATTGGAGATTTGGGGTTGCTGTTCCCTTTCCTGGAGCAGAGTAAAGAGCTTTTAGGGGCTCACCCCTGTAATCCCAGCACTTTGGGAGGCCGAGGTAGGCAGATCCCTTGAGCCCATGGGTTCAAGATCAGCCTGGGCAACATGCAAACCCCATCTGTACAAAAGATACAAAAATTAGCTGGGCGTGTTGGCACACACCTGTAGTCTCAGCTACTCGGGAATTGGAAGTGGGAGGATCACCTGAGCCCTTGAGGTCAAGGCTGAAATAAGCCAAAATCACCTTACTGCATTCCAGCACAGGCAACAGAGACTCTGTCTCAAAAAAAAAAAAAAAAAAAAAAAGGAACTTTTAGGAAAGTGCTGTTTTAGTGGACAAAATGCCTTCTTCGTGATTAGCACCAGGGGGCCTGTCTTTCTGAGTCTGTCAAAATCTATTCTACAAATATAAAAATATTGGCCAGGTGTGGTGGCTCCCGCCTGTAATCCCAGCACTTTGGGAGGCCGAGGCAGGCGGATCACAAAGTGAGGTCAGGAGATAGAGACCATCCTGGCTAACAGGGTGAAACCCCGTCTCTACTAAAAATACAAAAAATTAGCCAGGCCTGGTGGCGGGTGCCTGTAGTCCCAGCTACTCGGGAGGCTAAGGCAGGAGAATGACGTGAACCCGGGAGGCAAAGCTTGCAGTGAGCCGAGATGGCGCCGCTGTACTCCAGCCTGGGCAACAGAGTGAGACTCCGTCTCAAAAATAAATAAATAAATAAATATCATTTATCATTTGAAAAGTAGATGTTAATTTTAAATATAATTTTTGCTGCAGTTTATTTCTATAAAGTACATCGAGCAAGTGTTTATAAAGGGGTTCTTTTTCTAGTGTATTATTTGGAGATGCAGCTTCTACTGTAGGTTTACCTTCAAATCAAAGATAATACTCATTTTCTTTTATAGTATTAGATGTAGAGCAACTTTCTGCCTCTTATGATTTGTATAACCATTAGGATAGTAACGAAGAACAAAATTATTCTGAATACTTTAAAATGATAAATAGGCCAAGGACTTCTGAGCTGCAGAGGATACATATTATGTCCAGAATCAGTCTACCTCATTGTACTCACATTTTGTTGGCAGCCTTTGAGTGTAAAAGGGCCTTTACTGGTACACACCTCGGGCCCAGGGGCAGTGCCTGGAACCAAGTTGAGGCTCAGCCACTATTCAGACATCACCTTGCTCCTTGGGGTGGGGTTAGGGGAGTGGTAGCTTGTCCATGAACTCAGTATGCTATCATCTTTGTTTTGTGAATACATTTTCTGAATGACATTTGGAGGCCTTTGGTCATTCTGCAGCCACCAGAGTTGTGGCAAAGTGGGAATGCTGTCCATTTGACAGTGTTGTTTCTTCCGCTCTAGCACACTCTTCAGAGAATTGAGCCATTATTTCCCCTATTCATTCTTACAGTCCATTCAAAACTATACATCTACCTTTTTGTTTAAAAATAAAACACCATAAAGAATAATAAATTCCCTTCTCTCTGCCTTTGAGGCTTACTTAACAATTACTTTAAAATATTTATTTTTTTATCTTGTTTATACCTTCTGTATACCATAATGGATTTGAGGAAGCTTAATCTATAAACATGTTATCAAAACATTTCTTAGAAAAACATTTTTTAAGTGCCCGATGACTCCTAGACTTTTTACCAAAGATGATTGTTTCCTTTTTTTTTCCCCCTTTTCTTTTCTCTTTGATAGACTGGCTGTGTCGCCCAGGCTGGAGTGCAGTGGCACTATCATAGCTCACTGCAGCCTCAAATTCCTGGGCTCAAGTGATCCTGCTGCCTCAGCCTCCCAAAGTGCTGGGATTACAGATGTGAGCCACTGTACCCAGCTTCAGATTTTTCTATTTGAGTGAAAGATGGAGATAAACTAAACATACACTTACGTTACAACCCAGCAGTTGTAACCATGGATATTTATCCCAGAGAAATGAAATTTATGTCAACACAAAAACATGTACACCATCGTCCGTAGCAGCTTTATTTGTAATAACCCCAAACTGGAAATCACTTAGATGTCCTATGATAGGTAATTAGTTAAACAAACTGTGGGACATCTGCACCATGGAATATTATTACTCAGCAATAAAAAGGAACAAACCATTGAAGTACACTGCTTGGATGGATCTCAAGAACGTTATGCTCTGTGAAAAAGCCAACCTCAAAAGATCACATACTGTATAATTCCATTTATACAACATCCTCAAAATGACAGATTATAGCCGGGCGAGGTGGCTCACGCCTGTGAGCCCAGCACTTTGGGAGGCTGAGGTGGGTGGATAACCTGAGGTCAGGAGTTCGAGACCAGCCTGGCCAACATAGTGAAACCCTGTCTCTACTAAAAATACAAAGTTTGACCGGACACAGTGGCTCATAACCTATCTCAGCACCTTGGGAGGCTGAGGTGGGCAGATTGCTTGAGGTCAGGAGGCCAACTTGGTGAAACCCCATCTCTACTAAAAATACAAAAATTAGCTGGGCGTGGTGACCCGTCTCTGTAATCCCAGCTACTCAGGAGGCTGAGGCAGGAGAATCACTTGAACCCAGAAGGGCTGAGGTTGCAGTGAACCAAGATTGTGCCACTGTACTCCACCCTGGGTGACAGAGTGAGATTCTTGTCTCAAAAAAAAAAATATAGAAGCCAGGCATGGTGGTGCAAACCTGTAGTTTCAGCTACTCCAGAGGCTGAGGCAGGAGAATCACTTGAACCGCCAGGAGGTGGAGGTTATCGTGAGCTGAGATCATGCTACTGCACTCTAGCCTGGGCGACAGAGTGAGACCCTGTCTCAAAAAAAAAAAAAGACAGATTATAGAGATGGAAAACAGATAAGTGGTTGCCAGGTGTTAGGGACATTGGGGACTAGGTTGAGCAGGGCAGTGAGTATGAACAGGTAGCATCAGGGAGAGCTCTGTGGTGATGGAACAGTTCTGTATCTTGATTGTTGTGATTACACAAATCTACACAAGTGATCAGTGACAGAGCACCATGCGGGCACGTGCGTACACACACACACACACACACACACAGAGTTAATTTCCAGGTTTGATACTGCATTATCATGATGTAAGATGTAGTGACCATTGGAGGAAATTGGATGAAGGCTATGTGGGATCTCTCTGTAACTTTGTAAATCTTTGCAACTTTTTGTGACTCTATAATTATTTTAAAATAAAATGTTTTTTTAAAGGGAGAGTGGGAGTTTATAGGGTATGTAGATAAATTAGAAACAACAGAAGACCAACTAAAAAAGTGCTGAAGGTAAGCCCCCAACCCAGGCTAGAAATGAGAATGGTGAGTGCAATGGTAGAGGAAGGACTCCCCATCTGTGGGTGGGTCCAGTTTCTGCAGGAGCCTTCTGGAAGCCATGATCCCCATTCTCCCAAACACGCAATAGGAAAATACCAGAGAAGTTTTGTTTACCTATTAGCTTTTAAACAGAACAGAACCCTACATCTTTGTCTTAGATACAAAATAACCTTCATAGATAGGGGGAAGGGACATTAATAAAAAGAGCTATAATTTACACTGTTTTTCTTGAATGTTTTTACTTCATGAAATTTGAGAGATGATTTAAGAAAAATAATGTACATGTAATGGCTCCCCAACTTACCATCCTGTTAACACACACGTCGCAAAAAGGTCGTATCATTTGTCTTGTTTGGAAATCAGTTCAACTTTCTGACCCTTGTTCTATATATAACTATAGATCCCAAAGGTTCAGCTGCTAGGTTAGCGTTTTGTCTGCTATTTTGTAAATAACGGCAGGTAAGCAGGAAAAGTGCCAGTCTTTCTTGTCCCTGACTCTTGGTGGTTTGTGCCATGTTCAGGATAGCATTTGAAATAAGAGCTCATTACAAAGTAATGGAAACCCCTTGCTTTTATTGTGTATGCAGCGAAAACAACATTTGGATCAGTTTACAAGTTTCTGCAAAACACTGTCAAGAAATAATTTCAGTTGTGCTTTAGCAAGAAAATAATGGATCTGCGCTGTACCACATGCCTTTTGGCATCCGTCACTGGGCTTCCCTGAGACACTGACTGCAGGAGCTGGACTACTGTTAGGCAGAGACACTACAGTCCCTTTGCTGTCCCTGTCTTCTCTCCTAGCTACTGCTCCAGGTACACAGGCCAGGGTCACAATATCAGAAAGCAGCTCTGTGTTCCTCCAGAGAACCCCCAGAGCTTCCTTTCTGCAACACTATCTCTCCCACATGGAACCAGCTGGCTCATCAGTCAACAGGCTATGATACACAAATGCCTTGAGGATGCATCATGTATTTTGTCTGGAAGCAAGCAACACGCTCTTCCTTTGTAGGCTCTTTCTCCTTTTGGTTGCAATGTGAGTGGCTTATCTTGGGTGGGCTTGGGAATGATATACCATGTGACTACACGAACACTTCAAAACAGTTGCTTTTTCTAATGCATGCTGTAATAACAATAAAAAGCATATCCTTATGACTTTTTTAATGCAAGAAGACAGACTCAATTATCTGTGTTTTTGATTTTTTTTTTTTCTTCAACAGCATGTACTGCATCCCTTGTGAAGGTCCTTGCCCCAAGGTCTGTGAGGAAGAAAAGAAAACAAAGACCATTGATTCTGTTACTTCTGCTCAGATGCTCCAAGGATGCACCATCTTCAAGGGCAATTTGCTCATTAACATCCGACGGGGGAGTAAGTATTTCATCCCACTGAAAAAATGGCTAGATCTCATGGTTTTCTTTTGTTGATGCTTTTCATGCTCCTGTCCCTGAGTCACCACTAAAATATGGGCTTAGATAAACAACATGGTGTGTAAGCCTCACGCATGACGTCTCTTCTTTGAGTTTCCCTGAAAGATAAAAAACAGATTGAAAGGCAATCTGTTTTTTAGCCATTGGCACATCATTTATTCCTGTAAAGAGGGTCATCGCTCATCTTTTTGTTAGTCACATCTTGCATAGGAGAGGCAAGCCCTGACACATACAAACCCCAGAAGAGACCATTGGATCAGAGGTGTGACTCAGCAGATTCCAGCTGTAGCCAAATCCACACATCTTTCAAGTCTAAAGAGTGATCGTTACTTGAATTTACTGAGAAGACTGAGCAAAGGGAAGTTTAGTGATACCACGTTAAACTTTTATGAAGTCCAAAAGAATGCTAGATTGCCAAATTTACTTGTGAGAGACAAAAGGATACAAGTATGTGTCACTGTGTACGTAAAGTTTCAGTCTCACCTCGGTACAATGACCTATATTTGCAGTAGATGGCATTCCTGGTAAGTTGCTTCTAAGTTGGATTTGTGCAAAGGATTTCCCACTGACTTAGCCTGCGATCTCTTCACTTTGTTTTTTTGTGTGTTTGTTTCTTTGTTTTGTTTTGAGACAGAGTCTCACTGTGTCACCCAGGCTGGAGTGCAATGGCACAATCATAGCTCACTATAACCTGGAACTCCTGGTCTCAAACAATCCTTCTACTCAGCCTCCCACGTTGCTGGGACTACAGGCACACCCTACCATGCCTGGATAATTTAAAAAATCTTTTCACTTGTGATTTTTTCATTGCCAAGGGCTTCTAGTAATGGTGCCTTAAATTCTCTGCTACTGGGACCACTTGTTCAAGGTACTGATAGTTTTATAAGCTAGAATAAATACTGTAAAAAGACTTTCAAGTTGAAAGGAATTTTTTGGGGAAATCCTTTTATGAAGAATTTTTTTTTTACAGTTTGAGAGGAAAAATAATGTATTTTGAGAATTTGCTTTTCCTTAATATTTGTTAAATGAATAAACTGTTTTCTTAAGGTTTAGAAAGGACAGAAACAAGTTTTTGCTTATTTCTTCTGACTTTGTTGATATCCCTTGCTGTTGTTCACAATATACCCACTCTCAGTCCTCCATGATGAAGGTAACTCTGTTCCCCACAACTAGGGCTTCCCTGCTCTCATGGTACTTCTGAAGTTTAATTCTTTTGGCTGTGTCTGCATTTTCTCATTTACTTTTAATTTGCTTATCCCTAGAACATACCTTTTGAGTGCCTAAACTTTTTTATCTTCCTCTGAAGATAAAATTTCAATCTGTGAATTAAATCCATGGAGAAGTATCATTTTATGAAGGAATTGGTGCATATTTATGCATGATGATGAAGTGTGTCTTCCGGTTTATGTCCATTGCAGGAAATAGATTGGATTTAGGATGATGGGACATCTCATTATAGGGGAAATTTCCTGATCTTGACTAAGGCATGCTTCCTGCCCCACATTTAAAATTCAGGATCTCTTCCTTAAAACATCAACTGCACACAAGCTCTCATCTTTTCAACTTAAATTTCCCTTTAATTTTTCTTGGAAAGCTGTTAAATTAGATGTAGGGCTTTATCCTTTAGTACCCTTATTTTATTTGTATCAACTCAAAGCAAAATAGAGCCTTTTATTAAATATGTCTTCATAAATTATACACAGTAAAATCCCATTAATTGAACCACACCCAGTTCATTATGGTCTTTATTAAAATTTTAGCGTTAGTTGAACTGAAAATTGGTTTTTATTTACTAGGGGAAAGGGTAGACTAAACAAGATGAAAGGAAACCTGTTGTTTGCATATTATGTTTGTACATCTGTAATAGCAACTGTTTTTCCAACTATTTTCTAGTTCCAAAAGCAATACGTAAATATTATAGAAAACTTAGCAATGCAGAAATGAATTTTTAAAAATCCCTCATAGATAGCCGTTGTTAACATTTTGGTATATTTTCTTCTAGTCTTAGTAAAATGGAACCTTTAAATATAGATTCCTGTATCTTAGGAATTAGAAAGGCAGCACAGGCAGTTCTGAATGAGATGGAGAAAATGTTGTTGATTTAGTCATGCCCTTGTACTGTGGAGGCCATACTGTCTGTTGACAGAGCATATTAAAAGACGTTCCCTACATTTGTCAGCCTTAGCTAATTGCCAGTCTGGTATTTATGATCAGCTTGAGAGCTGTAGTACCCCCAACCTCCTAGAAACTTGCCTTCCCCTGCCTGGGAGTCCTCATTCCAGGAGTGGTTGTTGAGAGTCAAGCCAGGGAAGCGTGCTTTTGTCCGGGAATGGCCAGTCCTGTGCTGGGAGCCTGAGCATCTCAGGGGGCACCTGCCATTGAATTGTTCTCACTTGTGTTTGTAAGAATCCAAGTATGTCACCCTTACACCAAGTAAGCACACAGTGACACGATCCCCTTTCAATGTAGATAACATTGCTTCAGAACTGGAGAACTTCATGGGGCTCATCGAGGTGGTGACGGGCTACGTGAAGATCCGCCATTCCCATGCCTTGGTCTCCTTGTCCTTCCTAAAAAACCTTCGCCTCATCTTAGGAGAGGAGCAGCTAGAAGGGTAAGTGCCCCAAATTTCATGAGCTGATGTTCTCCTATTACAAAATAAGCAGCATACTTGTAAAACTGTTGCTGAGGTAAGAGCCCTCCCTGCCTTGTTCAATAGAAGAAAGGAAGAAGCCGCAGTATTGCCTGTGCTGCTCGAGTAGGTGTTGGGTAGAGTCATGATTCTCCATTCTTGCTGTTTTGGAAAACAGATGTTTTCCCCCTTACTCGATTTTGCCTTGTCAGTCAAGGGTTGCATGTCTGACTGTGACCAGTGAGACGGCAGAATTGGGGCAGACTTGGTGTTCTTGGGGCTTTTCTGCCAAGACTGACAGCCAGTTGATCTGGAGTGCTCACCTCCCTGTGAAATCATTCGCACAACCCTCATCTGCCTCAGGATGCTGTACTCTACTATGCACAACTACTCCATCTCTTAAGATATTGGAAGTGAGAGCAGCAGAGGAGCATGGGCAGTTCATTTTGTTATAAAGAAATCCAGATTCACAAGATTGTTTTTATTGATTAGTTTACAGGATTTGCACTATTGATAGAATTTTTGCCTTGGCACAGGCATGCTTTGTGATAGGGGTTTTAAAATAATCATGGGCTTTTCACTGGAGGATAAAAGCTGGTGCTTATTGCATGCACAATTGCTTTCCAGCCGTCAGCCTATGTGTACCTTTGCATGTGTACTTTTCTCTTTAAACCCTCCCTTTTAAGTACGACTGTTGCCTGGCTTTAAGCGAATGCTTCAAAATAAAAGGAGTTATCAATTAAGGAGTGAATTCCTTCTAAAGAGAATTTGGGAAAATAATTTAGGAAAAAAAGAGGCGAGAAGGTCATGGGAAAGGTTGTCCTTGCTGATTTATCTGCCCCAACTGGATAAAGTTACTGCATAAGGGTTTCTTTACAGCCTCCCTGTTTTTCTCAGACTAACTCTTGGTCAGTCTTAAATTCTTAAAATTCCATCATCTGATAGAGCTAACGAGAGCGGGCAGCTCTTCATTCCATCCTTGAAAAGCACAGTGTCCTCCCCACTGGGAACACCAATCCTTGAAAAACTTCTTTCTCATTGCAAATCGAAGGAGGCTGCCACTGCGCCCAGCCCCAGACTCCTCAGTCACTTACCTGGCAAGCTGAGGTCCTACCAATTTAAGGTGATGATCATTGTTCATTGTATTAAATTTTAAAATGAATTTTTTATCCGCCTTTTTTTTTTCCTAAGTAGGTGTTTGTTTCTGGAATCCTGGATATCTGTGAGCTCTTTTTTCTTTAGCAGATTAGTAGCTGTCAGATTTTCCTGTTGCTTATACACCTTTTTTTTTTTCCTAGACTAAGCAAATGATAGACATAAAGGTGAATGCTGAGAGGACAGTTTAATTTCTATTAGGAAATTAACCTCTTCATGGAGTGTTAACTAAGTATTGTGCACTTAAATGTAGCTAGAAATTAAAGCCTGATTTTTATTTGCAAGAATATTTATGATGTCTTTCTCATTATCTGAAACTTGCATAAAACCTGAAGTATCAGCAAAATCTTTTAAGGATACATGCTCAGGTGTTTGTGAGGCTTCCCAGGTAAGCCTGGGCCCCTGGCCTGCTCTTACCATTTTAGATGCAGGGGAGGGCAAGCGGGCCCTGGGTTTTCCCTGCTGCTGCTGCTCCCCAGTAGCCCTGCAGCTCCAAGGATGCCGGCTCCAGCCTTTCATTCCTGTGTGCTGCTTCTAAGAGGCTCTCTTTTGAGCTAGGGCTCTTAAGAATCTTTCACCTCTCGATGGGAGCTCTTTCCTCTCACCCTGTCTTCCTGGCACGTGACCACAAAGGTATAGCCCGTCCTCACGATGATGAGCTCCCCAAGAGCTCTGTTTGCTTCAGGTGTTGAGACCACTAGCAACACCTCAGCTGTTCATTTCTCCTTAGACTCAGGGACGGAGTCAGGTCTGGCCCCTTCACTGGCTGCCCTCACTTCTTCTGCAAGAAGGGAAGAGTCAGAACGAGAAAGAGGACAGGATATGATAGACAGATAAACATCAGCAGTGCAAAGCAGAACTCGCACAGTGTTACAAGGGAAAGAGAGAAATGTGCCCTAGGCATGGAGAAGAGCCAGATACCTGAGAAGATCAGACAGGCTTCTGACAAGGTGGCATTTGAGATGGGCCTTGAAGGCGTTCGGGAAAAACTTGGGGAAAGCAGAGGATTGAAGTGAAGAAAGGCAATTCGAGGTAGGGTGGCAGGAGTAAAGGCAACAAGTTGGGGCATCCTGGGGCCTGTTGGGCAACTAACGCTGGAGAGGTGGGTGGTACTAGAGTTACGTAAGATGTTTTGCACCCAGGTATAAAGGGTTATAATTTAGGTAGACCATGGAACATATTCAAGGCTTTTGAATAGAAGAGTGTTAGCAGAGCTGAAATTTTTATTTCGATATGCTTTTGGTTTAAGCCAAGATAACTTTTATCCCAGTGTTTCTCAAACTTTGCTACACATTATGGAATCACTGGGGGTGGGGGCGGGGGTGAGGTTGAGAAATCCTGATGTCCAAGTTGCACCCCCACCCCAATTCAATAGGAGTGTTTGGGATTAGGATCCAGGAATTAGTGCTTGTCTAAAGATCCCTAGGCACTTCAGCAGGGAGCAAAGATTGGAAACCACTGCTTTATCCCTTCATTTCTTCCCATGTGCATATCACAAAGCACTTTGATGGTTTTTTTTCCTAAGTATTTTCCCCTCACACTGCTGCCTAATGTTTTAGAGGTTCATCCATGTTGTTACATGTGTCACACTATTTTCTTAAACTTTTTCTTTTCTTTTTTTTTTTTTTTTTTTTTTTTGAGATGAAATCTTGCTCTGTTAACTAGGCTGGAGTGTAGTGGCACTGTCTCGGCTCACTGCACCTCTGCTTCCTGGGTTCAAGCAATTCTCCTGCCTCAGCCTCCTGAGTAGCTGGAATTACTGGCACGCACCACCACGCCTGGCTTATTTTTGTACTTTTAGTAGAGACGGGCTTTCACCATGTTGGTCAGGCTGTTCTCGAACTCCTGACCTTGTGATCCACCCGCCTCGGCCTCCCAAAGTACTGGGATTACAGGCTTGAGCCACCACGCCCAGCCTTCTTGAACTTCTTTTACAGCCAATGATAACATAAATGTTTCCATTTGGTTCAATAGGATGAAAGTTTTGTAGCCTTTTGTTTTTGATGGAGAACAGAATAATTCGAGATACAGAGATCCTTCAACTCTGACAACCTTGACTTTCCAAAATGTCACTGAGATCCCTCTCAAAAAGTCTCCTGAGCCATCCAGAACAGAGAATTCAAGCATTTTACGTAGAGCAGAGCTCTTATTCCTCACTCAGAGCCTGTTGACTTCTGTATCACACTCAGGGTGAGCTGATTTTGCAACCGAGTGACAAAAGCCATAGTCATGGTTTCCTCAAGGACACCACTAGGGTGTATTTCTAGAGTAATGACCTTAGACATTAAGAAAATCAAGGCCGCTCTGCTGTTTACAAAGGAAACAGGTTTTGTAATCCACATGTACACGATTTTTATAAAATAGTTAATTTTTAAGCTCTTAAATAAGAGAATATTTTCACTGTCTGGAAAATCCCCTTGTTTGGACAACCTTGTTTCCTGATGGCATCAGGTAACTAAGGAGTTAAAATTTCACGTTCTTTGGTGCTACCAAGGATTGTTGCCTTGAAAAGAAGAAGGAAAAAGTAGATGGAGGGTGGTGAGTTAAAAGAATTGACATTCGCAGATAGGCATTTCTATGCTTTTGTTCCTACCACTTGACTTTGCAACACACAGTGCTTTGTAATACCTTCTTGGAGCTCTAAGGCTGAAACATGGCCGCTCTTTAACATTTCCCTGGGACTTTTGGAAAATATACACTCAACCCTGTGACCCAGCAATTCCAGGATCCACCCAAGAGAAATGAAAACATGCCCACACAAGACTTGTGTATGAATTTTGGTAGCAGTATTACTCATAATAGCCTCCTGGGACTCCCCTGACCCCCAGGCCAAAGAAAAAGACCCACTGGAAACCATTCAGATGTTCATCAACAGATGAATGGATAAAAAGATAAATGGATAAATAAAATGTGGCACAAAGGACAACTGACTACTCAACAATAAAAAGACGTGAAGTATGACGCGTGTTACGACATGGGTGAACCTCTAAAACATTAGGATAAGTGAAAAGGAAAAATCCAGACACAAAAGGCTACATATTGTATGACTCATTAGTATGTAATTTGCAGAAAAGGCAAAACTATAGAGACAGAAAGCAGACCAGGGATGGCTGCGGGGAAGAGGTGGAGATTGACCACCAATGGGAATGAGGGAACTCTCGGGTGATGGAAATGTTCTGAAACTGAGTAGTGGACAGTTGTGTAAATTTACTGAAGCTCATGGAATGATGCGTGAATTTTTTTTTTCTCTTTTTTTTTTTGAAACGGAGTCTCACTGTGTTGCCCAGGTTGAAGTGCAGTGGCGCTATCTTGGCTCACTGCAAGCTCCACCTCCCGGGTTCACGCCATTCTCCTGCCTCAGCCTCCCAAGTAGCTGGGACTACAGGCGCCCACCACCATGCCCAGCTAATTTTTTGTATTTTTAGTGGAGATGGGGTTTCACCATGTTGGCTAGGATGGTCTCGATCTCCTGACTTCATGATCCGCCCGCCTCGGCCTCCCAAAGTGCTGGGATTACAGGCGTGAGCCACCGCTCCCGGCCTGATGGGTGAATATTTGATAGGTAGATTGTACTTCAGAAGTAAAGCTATTTTTAAGAAACACCTAACAAAACAAAGAGGAAACATTTTCTGAGTATCTGTATGGTGCCTGGTTCCACCTAGATAGACATTTCCACCCTTGCTGAACCCCTAAGGTTGATGTAAATATTGCATTTGCGGGAGGGTGGGCATGATATAAACCAACCCGTTTGCAGATGAATTGGTGGGAGCATCTGCAGAAAGGCAAAAAAGGCCAACTACTCTCTCAGTTGCAGATGGCTCTGTTGCCGATGACAGCCTGTGTCCTGGGTTCTGATGCCCTCTAGAGACAGCCGTGAAGAGGCAGTTTTCTCCTCTGAGAAAGGAACTGGAATGATTGGTTGTATAATTGCAGAATTGTTTTCAATATATCAGCAAGTACTGAAATGGGGAAACTGTCCTTCCTACCTCTGTAGGCTGGAGACCTCAGGTTCAGCTCCATTTATCAGGGCACAGGACCTTCCTGTTCTGAGACTTTGTTCCAGGGGACTTTTACACTTCAGAGAGTAGCACAGGTCATCCTGCACTTTTGTGGGGTGATTAAAAGCTCACGGTATCCTCTTATGTTTAGCCCATCCAATTCTTCCAACTGGCCTCAGCCAGAAAAGCAAGGAAGACACCCCCAGTTTGCAGCTGAGAGACTCCAGCCTGGGAGAGCTGAATAAATCTTTTGCCCAGAGTTGTTCCTCAGTAAGTGCTGGAGATGAGGCTCAGACCTGACCTTTGGATTCCCAGATGGAGTGCTCTGAACCCTGTACCTGGGGCTATCTTCAAGCAGCACTCAAATATCGATAGAGATAACATAAAGATGTCCTCAGGAAGATAACCAACTGTTGCCACCCCGTGTGGTCTACAGATTGGGAGACAGGGCCTACCCAAGTGTAGAAACAAACATTTTTTACAACATAGAGAAGGCTGAGAACCAGGATACCAGTATCAATAAAATCTGGATATCACAGAGCATATGGAAGCTAAAGAAAAATAAATAACTGGTCAGGTGTGGTGGCTCACACCTGTAATCCCAGCACTTTGGAAGACCATGGCAAGGGATTGCTTGAGCCCAGGAGTTTGAGACCAGCCAGAGCAACATAGTGAGATGCCAGCTCTTAAAAAAAAAAAAAAAGAAAGAGAAATTAACCAAGCATGGTGGGGCATACATATGGTACCAGCTACTTGAGAGGCTGAGGTAGGAGGTAGCCTACACCTGGGAGGTTGAGGCTGCAGTGATCTGTCATTGCGCCTCTGCACTCCAACCTGGATGACAGAGTGAGACCCTGTCTCAAGAAAAAAAAAACTAATTTTTAAAAGTATTCTTTGAAGGTAAAGGCAGTAAGCTTAGAAACAATGGAAATCACATTTACTGAGTTATTTACTTAAGTAGTCTTTTCCTTTAGGAAACAATGATAACTTTATGCATATTTTAAAGATGTGCAGACAGGTCTCTGCCTTTTACCCTCTCTTAATTCTCACCTAATCATGGAAGGAATTTAGCAGGGAGCCTTGCCCCAAGCTGCGGCTGGAATAACAAGCACAGTATTGACAGGCAGCTCATGAATGACTTGATTATTATTTTGACAAGGGTTTTATTTTTATTTTTCTTTAGCTTCCACAGGCTCCGTAATGCCTGGGTTTTATTGATATTGGTATCCTGGCTCCCAGCCTCTTCAATGATTGTAAAAAAATGTTTGTGTTTACTGTAAAAAGATAATCTTGCTTTTCAAAGTGATTAATCAAATACACAGAATTTCAGTGTGCCTGCCATTCATTTGTCAAATTCCTGATTTATAATTCATGCTTCCTCCCGTGGGGAGAAGAATGTTTTGTTCAGAAGGTATTTTTGGTGTGGTTCTGTTCCCTGCTAGTGAAATTAGTTTACTAAAAGAGGCCTCGTTCTGGGTGTAGATGGAAGTTTGGCCTGATTAATTGGTCCTTACCAGCATCCTAGAGGTTTCTTCACCAGCAGGGATATTTTGTCCTGTAACACTAACTCAGGTACCTGGAAGCAGCCCCACACTTGGGCATGCATCACTGCAGAGTCTTCTTTGGAGCTGGAGAAACTCCATGAGCAAGAATGGGCTTATGATAGGACACATCCATTTTCACGCCATCCCTCCTTCAGTTGTATGACTGCATGGAGCCCTTCTGACCTCCAGCAGTGTCACCTGAAACCTGGCTGTGAGAAAGAGCAGGTGTGGATGGGGCCTACCCCTGGCAGCAGTAGAGCCAACTGGGCCATATCCCAGCACTGCTCCCCGGGAAACATGCCTTGTGTTGCATTGACCAGATCTGAGATCATTTGGACAATGTCTTACGCGGCTTTTCCAGGATAGCTATGTGTTCAGGAGTGAGCCCTTACTGAAAGGGAAGAATTGTTGACTCACAAGTTTTTGCTACCAGTTTGGTAGCCACTAATGTGTCCAGAGGCCTAAAGATGGGCTTGAGAGGAGCCTGACTTAGCTTCAGAGGCGCTGTCTTTCAACTCACTTGTGTTTTCACTGCACCCCTGTGCTGGCAGGACTCCCACCTCCACCCCCAGTACTTGTGTGAGCAGAGAGCCCAGTGCTCAGGGAAGGGTTGGGCTTCAGGCTTGTAGGTTGGATTCCATGGCAGCTCTGTGACTCCTTCTGGGCATTCTTAAAGTAGACAGGGAGCTTAGATGTCACCTGTGCATTCCCCTTATTGTCCTATGAGTGAGTAAACAGGGCTACAAATAGCACTAAGGGACCTGCATGTGGCTGTGCAGTCATTTCTGGTCCTGGGTCCCAGTCTCTGAACTCCCTCCTGGTCTGACCTCTGTTTGTGAATGTTCAGGAAAATGTCACAGGGCTGCTTGGCAGCATTGTAACCATAATGAGAATCAGGCTGAGGATTGACCAGCTGGTTAGAGGTCCTGGTTTGGGTGTAAATGAAGACCCTTACCAGATGCAGAGAGATCCCCAATGCACGTAGCCTCCAGGGCAGAGGAAGGCTTAGGGGTTCTGTTCTGACCTGGCTATGCTGGCTCTGTAGGGAGGGCTGGGGTCCTTTTTCGTTTGTGTGTTTATACATTAGATCTGTGAGTGGATCTTAGAAATCACTCAAAGTACTGCAGTGATTCCTAAACTTAGTAAGAAGCAGAGCAGGAAGAGGAGAGGAAGGATTCATGGTTCATGGGGATCAGGCCCATCAGCACGGAAAACTCAGACTGTCAGCCCTGGCATTGTCTGCTGGCTTCCTGGGGAAGCCAGAGAGAAAGGCCCACTGCAGGGATCTTTCTCTAGACCCAAGCCATAGCTGTCTGCTTTCTTGCCTCCCTGGGGATGGACTTGTCCTGCCACCTGGGTAGCCAGATAGAACGGCTTCCTGTGCTGGTTGGATCCGCTACTTGTGTGTACACCCTCTGGGGCAGAAGCCACTTCTGGTTTGGTGGGCTTTGGTCCTCCAGCACCTCACTGGAACTCAACCTCTCCTAGACTGCTGGTTCTGCACGTGTGGTCCAGGGACCACAGCAGGGGTCAGCACCACCTGGCACTTGTGATAAATGCAGATTCTTTGCCCACCCCAGCTGAATCAGAAGCTCTGGGGGTGGGGCCCAGCCACTTTGCAAACAAGCTTTGTGCACACGAAACTTGGAGAACCACTGTATTGGATTCCAAGTCCTCTTGCCTGGATGAGAGGCCAAGGGCACTGCCTGTTGGTGGCTCTTCCTCCTCCCCCACACCTCCAGGGACTGGAACTGGGGCTTCTCAGAGTGAAAGATGAATCAGGGAAGGAGAAGGCCCAGGGTTGACCCCCCACAAGTTTGTCTCCCTGTCACATGCTGTCTCCTATCCCATCATGCTGCCGATTGGGCATGGGCAGGATTTACTTCCATGGATAATGGGAGACTTTAGAGCAAATGTGTAAGCTGTTCTGGTTGGGTAGCAGAGCATGTCTGTTCTCTCATGGATTGCTTTCAAGCACGTTGTGCATACTTGGCTGAGAAAAATAACCAAAGGCATTTCTTGGGAATGATTCTAGTAACATCCTCTGATACAAGAAGCATTATTTGATGGTAATAGAGGTCATAAAATTAATTAGCATCTTATCGATTTTGATACATTGTCGAATCATGTTGTTGCCATTGTTAACAGCAACTATCTGTTCTCCTATAGTGTTAATAACTAAATCTCTTATTGGCAAAGGAAATGTATTGTGGAGCAGGTGGCAAAGAGGACGTATGTTATGTGGCCAGCAGGCTAGAGAAGACTGTGGCCAAGGGCAGGTGCGCTAACATAACATAACATCGATTTCTATGCTTCTAGGAATTACTCCTTCTACGTCCTCGACAACCAGAACTTGCAGCAATTATGGGACTGGGACCACCGCAACCTGACCATCAAAGCAGGGAAAATGTACTTTGCTTTCAATCCCAAATTGTGTGTTTCGGAAATTTACCGCATGGAGGAAGTGACGGGGACTAAAGGGCGCCAAAGCAAAGGGGACATAAACACCAGGAACAACGGGGAGAGAGCCTCCTGTGAGTGACAGCACCCAAAACACCATGGGCCAAACCATCATGATAACAGCAGACCCTCCTCCCATGTGTGATGGCAACTTCCCTCTGCGGCCCTTTCTTGTTTCACATGGGGGACCACTAGACCATCTTCACTAGTGCTTTGCTGCTACTTATATGTCTTCAGAATCAGTAGTGGGCAGATACGTGATGTATTCATATTTACAAATTCTGTACATCTCTGTGAGTGTGTGAAACACTTATAAATAGGTTCTCTCTCAAACTTTAAAGTGCTGCTTACAGAATGCACAATTAAATGTCCTTTTATACACAGGTGCACAGTTAGATTATTTCTTTTTTTTTTTCTTTTTCTTTTTTTTTTTTTTTTGAGATGGAGTCTCACTCTGTCACCCAAGCTGGAGTGCAGTGGCATGATCTTGGCTCATTGTAACCTCTGCCTCCTTGGTTCAAGCGATTCTCATGCCTCAGCCTCCCGGGTAGCTGAGATTATGACACCCGCCACCATGCCCAGCTAATTTTTGTATTTTTTTGTAGAGACGGGGTTTCATCATGTTGGCCAGGCTGGTCTCAAACTCCTGACCTCAAATGATCCACCTGCCTCAGCCTCCCACAGTGCTGGAATTACAGGTGTGAGCCACCATGTCCTGTCCGATTATTTTTCAGGGAAGAGCCAGGGTGCTCCAGCCCTGTGAGCTCTATCCTCCCGCTCCCACAGAAGGGAAGCACAGGCCTGTGAGGTGGAGGCGGCTCTGCCCTAAGAACAGCCGCTGTGGGCCACAGGTTTCCTGTCCCTTACACTCGGCCGCCTTGTTTCTCCCACCCCAACGTGAAAAAGATGGAGTGAGCCTGCATCCCTGAGTTGATACCGCTTTTTAAATTTAGAACAATATAATTATAGCCTTGTACTGGTTATAAAACTTAAGGTCTCGTATCAGAGATACAGCAGCGCCTTTCTCATCTAACCATGTGTAGAATATGGCTGCTGAGAATGGTGTGGCTCTCTTTGGCTGGACAGGGTTATAAAAGTAAATTGTCTTTTCACCTTTGGCTTTTAATAAGGGAAGGGTATTAGAAAAAAAAGTAGTTTGTATGATTAAGGGTGATTTGTGCGTGTGTGCACACAGACGTACATGCGGGGAGGCAAATCAGAGCTGATACGTGTTTGGCTTTGGCTTGTTTTCCTGGTGTCTGGATTTACCTGGCAATACTTGTTGCTCTGGGGGATCATAGAGGGAAGCATGCTGACTGACCTAGGGCTGAACAGCAGGCTTAGGACCAGTGCCACCTCCCTCCCCCTGCCCACTCTGTCCCTGCAAAGCCCCTGCCTTGCTCACTGTTCAGACCATAGTAAAATCGGATGTATCAGAGCATTTCAGAGTGCTTTTCTCCTTAGAGTCAGCCAGTCTGACCTGTCAGATCATAAATGTAGTAGCCATTTATTTTCTTTTGAAAAAAAAAAAATCATGGTTTCCTCTCTAAGTAACACTTCAGCAGGAACTGTGACATTTTCCGATCTCAGTTGTGCACATTTTGCCCTAAAGACTTCTTAGCTCTTTTACTGTCTTCAGTCCCTCTGCTTCACCTCTTGAGTGTGTAGTGGGATTCAGGCAGATAAGAGGGCAAAAGGACAACTCAGCAGAGAGCTCTGGGTCTCCATGAGGGTAGGCAGTCATCAGTCTTTCCCTGGTCCTTATCGTACTTTGAATTTGGTCCAAGGAATAAGAGAGGGACTTGGCACAGCTTCCCTGCCATACCTGCCAACCAGGCCTACTTCCCATAGAAGACATTAGGCTTGGTCAAGTGAAATCTTCTTGTCATTGCTTAATCCAGCCCCCCGTTGTTTGTCAGCCCTCACTGGAGGCCTCACAGGAGTTCCTGTGTCCTTCCAGTTTGATACCAAGTTTAGACCAAGAAAAGTTCCTTTCTGTGGCACACCTGTGGTCTCTTACCTGTGTTTGGTGGTTGTACAGGAACAGGCAGATAGCCACAACTGCAGAACAAGTGTCATCGTCTCTCTAAGAAGATTCAGGGCAGCCTAAAGGCTCATCCTCACCCTACCAGGCCCCCTTTCATAGCCAGGATCTTAGGGATGGAGAAGAAAGATAAGTTCACCTTGTTCACTGAAGTTGCCCTTTGTTTTCAGGTTAGGAAACCCAGGTTCATGTCCAAGTCCCTGGGCAAGTAGCCAGTGCAACTGATTGACCTAAAACAAAGGATGGAACCCTTGGAGCTCTGCATAGTGAAATGTATGATTTCTTAGTGGAAAACGAGAAAACCACGTAGGAAGCCCAGCAGGGAACTTAGCACATATAACCAGCTTTGGGGAAGGGGAAAGCAGTGCCGAGCAAGACAGGTGCTTTTCAGAGACACATGAATCTCTGTCACTCACGGATGTACTCTGTGCCCCAGGTGAAAGTGACGTCCTGCATTTCACCTCCACCACCACGTGGAAGAATCGCATCATCATAACCTGGCACCGGTACCGGCCCCCTGACTACAGGGATCTCATCAGCTTCACCGTTTACTACAAGGAAGCGTGAGTTTCTACTTTGGGTGATGCCATTCTGTTGACAGGGCTACGAATGGGGAGAGGCCAGTCTTTTGATCCTTGAGTGGGTTGGCTCAATATGGGGAGTCAGCAGAGTCTTCAGGGAGAGCCACATCAAGCATCCCCACTTCATCCTCATGCACCCTCTCGGGCTGTCCCCTTGATGTCAGTCACAGCCAGTGACAGCCACGAATGGGAAAGTGTTAGCTTGAGGCCGGTCATTCTTTAGTGAGTGATTAGAGATGTTTGAATAAAATAAACCCAGAGTAGGCAAAGCTTGTTTTTTCCAGAATTAGGTCAGTCCAGACTCATAAAGGATGATGGGGGACTTCACTGAAATAATCGTTTCAGCCTCCTTACCCACTAGCCCTACCCTAGGAACACCCTGCAGGCACATGGCTCCCTTGTATCATCTTATTCCTGTCTCTCTCTGTGTGTGCCTCTCCCAAGCTGTGGCCCTCTGCTCTAGGTCATGAGCCTTCCAAACAAGTGAAGGAAAGTGGAGAGAGAAAAACCTTCATGTCTTGAGCTTTTTGTGACTTCTCCTGGACTCTGTTGGGAGCTTTTCTTGTGCAATCACATGACATTCACCCATCTAAGCAGCCGACAGTTATTCCTCTCAACTGCAGCTCTCTTTGGTCTCCCTCTTCCTTCCTTTGCCTCCTGTATCCATGTGGCTACCCTGGTCTATTAGCCATCCCCGTTCCTAGGTCCCATCTTAATCTCATAGTTCTCTTTCCCAGATGAATGGCTTCCAAAGAGCAGGAACCAGAGGCACCTTATGACAGCATCTTGTACTCTTTCCTCCTGCCAGAGCTGGGGTCCTATGAATGAGAAATGGGGTACTTAGGATTACTAGGCTTTCACGGTTCATACATAGGGGAGCCGCTCATGATCTCCCATCATGACAGCAGACAGGGTTTTGTTAATGTTTGTTTCAGAAGCCAGTGACCAGCAGCTGTCCAGTCCTTTTATCTGATAAATGTAAAATATCTACCCAACCATGCATCTGTGCAAAGTACTATATTCTCTTTGATAGTCACACCAATGCTTTGGCAATGTCAGCTGGTAATTTCACTAAGGACTTGATGCTAGTTTCTAAGGCAATCTGGAAACTAAATATTTGAATATTATAAGATGCTTAAGCATCAGAATTTTTGATGAGCAATTTGAATTTTAGAAGCTACTTCTGTTTGTCTGTAGGAAAGTCATTTTTCTCCAACAGTTACCTTTTATCAATATCTGATATTTGCATTAACTGACTATGCTTGTTTTTTTCTTAATGATGGAAAAATGCTGCAATCAGAAGAGAGAAAAATAGTATTTACATCTGTTCTTAAGGAGCAGTAACTGTCGAATCCTGGTAACTGTTGAACTGGTTCTTCCTGAGGCAGAGCATTCAATTCTGTAGTGCACGACTGGGGAAGCCCAGAGTCCAGTCGCTTCATTTTCTTCTTCTATAAAAGTCTAATTGATTAATAAAGAAAGTGTGACGTGCTGGGCCTCTGGGGAAGATTTTTGAGGATTTTGATGTCAGAGCCCCGAACTTTCTCTAAACTTGATTGATTGTCTTTCAGACCTTTTAAGAATGTCACGGAGTATGATGGGCAGGATGCCTGCGGCTCCAACAGCTGGAACATGGTGGATGTGGACCTCCCGCCCAACAAGGACGTGGAGCCCGGCATCTTACTGCATGGGCTGAAGCCCTGGACTCAGTACGCCGTTTACGTCAAGGCTGTGACCCTCACCATGGTGGAGAACGACCATATCCGTGGGGCCAAGAGTGAGATCTTGTACATTCGCACCAATGCTTCAGGTATCCATGCCCAGACAAGTCCCCAGCATCCACGCTTCTTCACAAGCTCACTGGGCTTGCTTATACAAGGTGTCATTGTAGAGTTACCAGTGAGCTATGCCTGTTGTCTTTCTTATCAATACGTAATACTGTGTTATATTCTTTTTCCTACTGCTAACACATTAGGCTCTTCCGTGCCATTTTCTGGCCTCAGTACCATCTTCCATCATCTCTCTCCTGCTCTGTGCCTTTGAGCCCAGGTCCTCCAGAATGCTGGGCTGGTTTCATTGGAAGGCCCAGCCTGGAAACAGCCATCTTCGGCTGCCCTTCTTTCTTGTTTATTTTGATGTTGAATCCTCCAGGAACTGAAACCATGCTCATCTATGTTCCACTTAATTCATGTGGCTCACTGGTTTTCTATCTTCATTCTGGAGCCTGTAGAGTTCCAAAGAGTTCAACAAAAGTTGAAAGATTGCAGATGTAGTATGTTGTGGATATTCAAAGTATTCACTGATGATGATATTCCTCCTTCCTCTATCTTTAGGTTCTAAACCACCTCATTTCTCAACTCCAGATCTGGAAACAATAAAAGCAAACATAAATGTTTTCCAAGTATATAAAAGCTAGTTTAGAAGTAGGAAAATCCACTTCAGTTTTAAAGACACTGATTGTTTTAGTCCATTGGAGCTTCTGTCACAAAAAAACAGCGTAGCCTGGGTGGCTTATAAGCAATAGAAATGTATTTCTCACAGTTCCAGAAGCCACAAAGTGCAAGATCAAGGCGCTGGCAGATTTGGTGTCTAGTGAGGGCCCACTCCATGGCTCATAGATGGCTGTCTTTTCGTTGCGTCCTTGCATGGTGGCAGGGATGCAGGAGCACTCTCCAGGGCCTTTCGTAGAAGGGCCTGAATTCCATTCATGAGGGCTTCACCCCCATGACCCAATCACCTCCCAAAGGCCACACCTCCTAATTCCATCACCTTAGGGGTTCAAATTTTGACATGTGAATGTTGGTGGGGGGCACAGACATTCAGCCTATAGCACTGATAAACTTTATTTGATAATAGCCATTATTTTAGTGGGTAAGATGTTTTTAAATACCCATAAGCAAGCACAAAATGAGTTTAAATGGCAAGAGAGAAGGGTGAGAAGAAAATGCTGGTGGGGAAAACCTTTTGCTGTGTGCACCTGCTTCTTCCTCCCCTCCTACCCCATTTCCATGACCCTGTTAAGTGGCCACAGTCATGTCACTGGGTGAAGTGCTTATTAAAAAGAAATTGGCACAGGCTTCTGATCTTGGGTGTGGGTTGGTATAGCAGAGATTCAATGCAACAGAGTAAGTTTTTCATCTTAAAATTTGGAAGTCATCCCTGCCTTAGCAATTCACTGTAGCATTTGGGAAACATAGGAATATCTGCTTATTGTGACAGATTCTCAAGAAATCTGCTTCCTTTCCACAAAGATGGAAACCAGGCACTGTACAAATGAGTCAGTTCATGACGTTTTGTCCTCTGTCCTTACACGCAGCAGAAACAGACAAGAACTTGGTCCTCTGCCTCTGCTTTTTTGTGACACCTATCATAAGAATGTATCTAGGAATGAGCTGTTTGTTTTTGAAGTACTTATTTTTGGAAACCCTAAAGTGGCTGAGCATCAAGTGGTTGTGTTTTCTTTGAAAACACTAGTATTAGTCATAACCTTTTTCCAAAGTATTATCCCTTAAAGATGTTCAGAACCTTGTGTGTATTAACCTGGAGCACCCTCAAGCTCTCCACCCTTTTCGAGTTTGAAAAATGGCTTAGGCAAACATGTTGCTTAAGCGATATCCAGCAAAGGTGTCTCCTGCGCTTTGGAAAACCGTCAACATTGGTGCTTTTTTGTGACCCAATAAGGACAAGATTTCAGTGGTTCTGGGATGCATTTGATCTTTATGCACACTTCAGCTCTGGGTTTGGGTTCAGGGGTCAGCATAAGTAAAGCTTGATCAGATAACTATGCTTTGCCTATAATCAGCATTCATTCTGCTGGTAACAGAGTCCTTTGCTTGAAATGAGGCTTCCATGCATTTGCAGTTTTAGACTGCTTTTCAGAGTCATGCCTCACTCATTGTACCGAAGGATGCTTGTGGAAATGGCGGACTTCCGTGTTCTTTGCATTGCCTCTTCCCCATTCCTCTTACAGCTGTGACACGGGCATGCACACTCCTGCACACACACAGGCTCTGCGGCCCCCTTTCCACTACCCTCTTTCCATTTGACTTCATGACATTTTTATCAGAGATTCAGAGTCTCAGATGAAATCCAAGTCAGCCTATTTTACCAGTTGTCGAAACTGCCGGAGTTCAGCGCTGTGGAGAATGGCAGTTGTAATAAATGAGAAATACCAGGTGTTTGAATTAGCTGTAGATTTTCATATTGTCTCTTCTAACTCTGCTTGTGCCCCCGCAGCCTTTTTCCATTTACAATTCAGTAGTGTTTGTTTTCACAGAGATTATCTGAGGAAATAAATTATAAAGGGAAATGTTGGCATTTAAAGTAGTACTATTTCAAAATAAGGTTCACTTTTCACTTTGTATTTCATTGTTCATTGTTATTTTCTTATCCAGGTCAAACTTACAGTTTCCTGTTGGCTTGCACAGAGTATCTGATAGCCTGAATCTTAAGTTCATTTCATTTTCTGGAATATTCTTTGTTCCCCTTTGCAGTTCCTTCCATTCCCTTGGACGTTCTTTCAGCATCGAACTCCTCTTCTCAGTTAATCGTGAAGTGGAACCCTCCCTCTCTGCCCAACGGCAACCTGAGTTACTACATTGTGCGCTGGCAGCGGCAGCCTCAGGACGGCTACCTTTACCGGCACAATTACTGCTCCAAAGGTAAAGGTGCACCGGCGGCCTGGACGGAGGGTGTGACCGTTCATTCCTGTGGTTTGAATGTACCTGGGCCCTAATATTACACGTATCAGATAACAGTGTAGTTCTCCATTACACACCAGCTATCTTTTTTTTTTTTTTTTTTGGTGAGACAGAGTCTCAATCTGTTGCCCAGGCTGGAGTGCAGTGGTACAATCAGGGGTCACTGCAATTTCCGCTTCCCAGGTTCAAGCAATTCTCATTCCTCAGCCTTCAGAGTAGCTGGGATTACAGGCATGCACCACCATGCCTGGCTACTTTTTATATTTTTAGTAGAGATGGGTTTCACCATGTTGCCCAGGCTGGTCTCAAACTTCTGACCTCAGGTGATTCCCCTGCCAAAGCCTCCCAAAGTGCTGGGATTATAGCCTTGTGCCACCGCATCTGGCCAAGACCAGCTATCTTCTTGATTAAAGGTGCTGAGAGCTATTATTTTTCTTCACAAGCATGTATAGTGGCTTTCATTCCCACTCTTGTTTTGGCTTTTCTTTTCCGAGAAGACAAAATCCCCATCAGGAAGTATGCCGACGGCACCATTGACATTGAGGAGGTCACAGAGAACCCGAAGACTGAGGTGTGTGGTGGAGAGAAAGGGCCTTGCTGCGCCTGCCCCAAAACTGAAGCTGAGAAGCAGGCCGAGAAGGAGGAGGCTGAGTACCGCAAAGTCTTTGAGAATTTCCTGCACAACTCCATCTTTGTGCCCAGGTATCGAACTCTTGTGAAATTTCACTTGGCAAAACCCACTGCTCAGGTGGGTTCTGTTGCCTTTCTCCCCACCAGGTAATGTGTAAGTCAGCAGCGGGGAGGTACAATACAGTAGCCATTGAGATGGAGCCAAAAAAGATGACAGGTTCGGTGAAGTGAGTTCCTGTGGAAGCCAGTCAGCCCTGAAGGGAACAGGGACCAGGGCTTGGGTTGCTGGGGCCGCCGATGTGACGGGTGCTGCTGTCTCAGCCACAACCCCCTACAGAGAGCAGGTGGGCACCCTGTGGTAGAGGCAGGGAGGGGAAACTCAAAGAGTACTGAAATCCGCTGCCTGGTAAGAGGAAAGGCCAGGATTTGGGCCCATCTCTGCCCTTCCCAATTCTCTCTGCTGCCTCTCTCAGCCTGACAGAGGAGGAGTGAAGCAAGAGGGAAAAACATCAGAGTCTGTTGGAAGGGGCCTGACTTCAAAACATAGCCAGGTGCCGCAGGCATCCTTTACAAGTAGGTTTAGGAAGCAGTGTAGGGAGACAGCCTGCAGTGGCTGTTTATTCCGTGGTTACTCTGCCTTTCAAAGCAACACAGCCCCTGCCCCAGGGTCTCTGCTCCTTTGCTGTGGTCTTGGTTTCTGGGGAGTGGGTACAAAAGCAGAAGAAAGTAAATGTTCATAGTAGCCAAATCCGGAAACAACCCAGTGTACATCAACAGGTGAGTGGCTCAACAAAGTGGGCTCGAACCATACAGTGGAATATTATTCAGCTATAAAAAGGGAGGGAATTTCGATCCATGTCACAACACAGATAAACCTCGAAGACACCGTGCCAAGTAAAACAAGGCCAGACACAAAAAGACAAATAGTGTATGATTTTATGTTGTGTGAAATATATGGAATGGGCAAATGTATGGTGACAGAAAGTAGATTTGAGTTTACCAGGGGATGGGGATAGAGTGTGGAGAGGAATGGGAATTGTTCCATAATTGATAGATTTTCTATTTGGAGTGATGAAAATTTTTGGAAATAGATGATGATGATAGTTGTACCATTCTGTGAATGCAATTAATGCCACTGAATTGTACCCTTAAAATGATTAAAATGGCAAATTTTTGTCTTACATATATTTATTTTGTTTTAAAATTTTATTTTAACACAATAAATGTTAAACAATTTTTGTTTTCCTCTCAAAAAAGGATTAGCCCAGTAGTGTGTGGGAAAGGAGATGGAAGCACAGTGGTATTCCCTGGCCCTCTTCCTGTAAGATTATAGTGCAGATTTTGGAAACGACCTCATGCCTGAAAACTAGGCCAAGGAGTTGGATTTAAATCAGCATGGTACCCATGAGTTGCCCACCTGCAGTCCCCACGGTGCCCCTGCTGCCACTACCCCACCCAGCACGTTCCCTTCCCCTCACTGCCCCCAACCCTGAGAGGAGCCTGTAGTAGCTATTTATTCTGCAATGACTCTGCCCTTATAGACTTTCTTAGGCTGTAACAACAAATGGTTTTTAAAGTGATTTTTTTTTTCTGCCAAATGACCTTTTTGATATTTGCAAAATGGTTGAAATAGCTGTTTCACTTCGAGAAATCAGTAAAGTGAGAAATAAAGACCGATTAGAACTGGAGGCACTATTTCCTTTTGAGAGTGAGCCTCTTCATTGCTTGGTGGCTTTCTTCCCCTCCCCTCCTCTCTCGAAGTTAAAACCACCAGAGCAGCCGGACATGGTGGCTCACGCCTGTAATCCCAGCACTTTGGGGGAGGCTGAGGTGGGCAGATCAGGAGGTCAGGAGTTTGAGACCAGCCTGGCAACATGGTGAAACCCCATCTCTACTAAAGATACAAAAAATTAGCCAAGCGTGGTGGCATGCACCTGTAATCCCAGCTACTCGGGAAGCTGAGGCAGGAGAATCGCTTGAACCGAGGAGGTGGAGGTTGCAGTGAGCTGAGATTGTGCCATTGCACTCCAGCTTGGGCAACACAGCAAGACTCCATCTCAAGGAAAAAAAAAAAAAAACACCAGAGCTGTGAGAAGGGCCTGCGAGCCCTTCATGGCCTCTCGCATCCTGCCCCGCTGGGGAAATCTTCTGCCTGCTGGTAGGTGACAGGGCTTTGAGTGTGAGCCTTGAGGTTCAGTGCCCAAGGCCATTTTCTTATCCAGGATATCTGTGTATCACTGGTGGTTCCTAGAAAGCAGAAAGTTTGAGGACTAGAAAGATTGCAAAGAGGTGTGGAAACTGGAACTCAATGAGGTTTGGTGACTTCTCCGACATCCTAATTAATTAAGAATCGGTCTGGGACCTGGCCCTCATTCCCACACACCAACTCTCTTTCCCTCCTCTTCTCCTCCATTGCGTTGCTTCTCGTGGTGCTTTCCACCTAGACCAGCAGAGGCTCAACTTGTGGCAGCTCCTGCTGCCCGCCACATGGAAGGATGGATTTAGAGTGTCCCAAGCAGGCTGGGTGGGAAGTTTGTTTATTCTCTATCAAAGGCCATTGGTTACGTTGCTGTCTTGTTCCACCAACCAGCAGGAGGTTCGGGTTGTGAATCAAGGTTTTGGAAAGATTTTGCTGAAAGGCCCCTTGCTTTCAGTTGTAGTTACAAGGCAAGACCTGTTTTTTTCTCATCAGATGTGGAGCACAAGATTATGTGATGTGGCCGGGCGCGGTGGCTTAAGCCTGTAATCCCAGCACTTTGGGAGGCCGAGACGGGCGGATCACGAGGTCAGGAGATCGAAACCATCCTGGCTAACACGGTGAAATCCCGTCTCTATTAAGAAATACAAAAAACTAGCCGGGCGAGGTGGTGGGCGCCTGTAGTCCCAGCTACTCGGGAGGCTGAGGCCGGAGAATGGCGTGAACCCGGGAGGCGGAGCTTGCAGTGAGCTGAGATCCGGCCACTGCACTCCAGCCTGGGCGACAGAGCGAGACTCCGTCTCAAAAAAAAAAAAAAAAGATTATGTGATGTGTGAAGGCAGAGCCGCGATTGGCACTGATGTTATTAATGCACAGCATTGGTGGTGGTGGGTTCAAAACAAGTTTCCTCTATTCCACTTGAGAAGTGTGTTTATCTGTCCCCCCAGTCCTTCCTTTCTCTCTCCTAAGACAAGTCGAACTTATGATTCTCCTTTCCATGGATGTATATAAAGACAATATTTTGTTCATGGTGAGAGGCCATGCTTTATAAGAAGTTAATGTTTGTTTTTTGCCTCCTACTGAGTTCTGGCGGAGTTGGGTGAAGGAGTGTCCAGCTGACAATATGATTGAATCATAAAGGCTGGCTTTCTATCTTACAAGTGAAATGTCCGAAAACAGATTTGATTTCTTTCAATTCATTCTGAGAATAATTTATTTGTGGGATAAAACCAGTTAAGTAAGATTTAGTTCCTTATAAATTGTCCAGAATATCCTGTATGTTTTGAAGTAGAGTGGAAGCTAGAGTTTGTAAAACCAGTTTCTGAAGTCAGTATTTGGCAGTAAATGCCTTTCTTTGACTACTGTCTTTATTTTGTAAATCACATAGTTTGGTTTAACTAGCTAAAATGTTGACAGATGTTGGAAAGTAAAAGGTTTTCCAATAGGGCTAGGTTGTATCATGGGGTGGAGCGGGGAAAGTTGGCAGTAATGTTTGCTGTTGGGCACACGATTTGGAAATGTAGTTGTTTACCAAAAAATGATGTATGGGCCATTGTGCTTCCCCTGTTCCTGCCTTCCAGATAATGTTCTGTGTCACCTCCCTCCCCTTGTCACTGCCTTGATGTCATCAGCATTGAGAGCTGTGCAATCCCTAAAAGTGTGGTGTTGATAAACAAGTAAACTACTGAGTATACTTAATGATGTAATCCCTGTTAAACGTGGTGGCCGGGCTAGGAGAGGGGTTTTGACACAGAATTATTTTGCAGTGCATCAAACCTAAGCAACTTCTGACAGACACATGTGTATATTGTGTTGGTTTTGAAGGAAGGGCTGGAAATTTGTTGATGTGTTGACAAAGATTTCTGTGGCAGTAAATGTGGTTTCTTGTGTTTTTCCCTTCCAGGAAGCTTGGTTAGCTGGTTGGTTGGTTTGCAGAGTGTGAGGATTGTGGATAATCAGCCTCATGTCCTTACCCTTCCTCCCCCAGTATTGTGAAAGCAAATGTACATGCCCTGACCTTGTGGTTTTCTGCTTGTTGGAATGAACCTGTCTGTGTTGGGCAGTTTATGCCTTTGGTGGGACCCCCATGTGCCACTACACAAAGAAGGACCATGTTTTCCTCAGGGGAATCCATGGGCCGAGAAGACTAGGGAGCCAGAGGCCCTTTCCCCAAGCCCCCTGCTCTCCCCTTCCCAGGTTCTGGCCTAAGGACCAGCCAGAAACCTGCCAAGCGTCAGCCAAACCTGCAAGTGGCTTCTGGGCTGCTCCGTTCCCTGTGTGAGCTTTCCCTGTCTGCTGCTGCTGCCGCTCTCCCCTCCATGGCACTGATGAGCTTCCCATGTTCTGGACTTTCTCATTTCCCTGGGCAGATGGAATTCATCCCATTTACTCCCTGCCTTTTGCCTATTCCTAAGACCAGTGACCCCAGCCAAAGGCCTCAGCCCTGTTTTCTCACCATTGGTCCGTGGCTGACCTGAGGGTTGCCCTTTCTCCATCTGGGTGCTCCTCTCGTATTCTGTTTGTTTTTGTTGGTTCCTGTAAACATTAGGATTCTGTTTTAAGGTTTCTAGGGGGAGCCACAAAGCCCATTTTTTCGTATTTGACCAAAGCAGCAATTAGAGGGTCACATCCTCATGCCTCATCTGCCCTTTTCGGTGTGAATGTCCTCTTTGTGATGACTTTATGCACTCCCTTTTGCTTTTTGGTTGTTCCAGTCTCCATTCAAATCCATGACAAAGACTCTGCCCTCTTGTGGGCAGGACCTTGGTGAGGCCACAGGTGCTCACTGCTGAGTTGGGAGGAGGCCTGGGTGGGCTTCAGGGACCTGCAGAGTGTAGCAAGCACAGATGCTTGGGGTTGGGGGTGGGCCCGCAGCAGAAGCCCCCAAGAAGAGACCTGAGGTCCGTGGGTTGCTAGGCTCCAGGCATCTTTATTTCCACAGTCAGAGCAGATCCAAGGAGCCACCACCATAGGCTTTCATATCCCTCTGCCCCAGGTCTCTGGGGCCTCTGCCACACACCTCACCTCTCCCCTCCTGCCCTAATAAATCTTAGCGCAGCTGGTAGGTTTGCCACCTTTAATGCTTAACCGTAAGGTCTGTGACCAGATGGCTTGAGTGTTCTGATGACACAGCCAGGACTGCCTGGCCAAGAATGGCAGAGACACTGTTTGCCTCTAGGTAAAATCGAAGAACCACTCTGAGAGCCAGGGGGTGGGGGTGAGAGTTTGTGTGCCCATTCTGACACTTGCATAGTAGAAAAAGCAAGATAATGAGGAAGGACATCCCCGTGTTATTCATGCGTTCTTATCCAAGGGGGCTGAATAGCTCCTTCTATTCCATGGTTAAGATTCTTCTGTTACTCTTACTCAAGTCATAGAAAAGACGAAAGAGGTAAAAGCACTTAAAAGCCACATTTATCTCTTCCTTGCAGACCTGAAAGGAAGCGGAGAGATGTCATGCAAGTGGCCAACACCACCATGTCCAGCCGAAGCAGGAACACCACGGTGGCAGACACCTACAACATCACAGATCTGGAAGAGCTAGAGACAGAGTACCCTTTCTTTGAGAGCAGAGTGGATAATAAGGAGAGAACTGTCATTTCTAACCTTCGGCCTTTCACATTGTACCGCATTGATATCCACAGCTGCAACCACGAGGCTGAGAAACTGGGCTGCAGCGCCTCCAACTTTGTCTTTGCAAGGACTATGCCTGCAGGTACGGTATATCTGGGTGGCCCCATTGCCACCTTCCTCACAACCTAGTGGAGAAGATGTGTTTTATGGACAAAGGGTCTGACACCCAGGGCCACAACCCTTAGACTGAGGTCTGCCTGCTAAATAACGTGCGATCATTGGCAGGTGGCGTAGTAGACCAGCTGCCTAGGGAATAGAGCTCATGCTTTCCTAGTGACACCACTCCCAGCCTGGTCTCTCCGTGGAACATGCTGGGAGCAGGGAGCTGTCTGCATGGTCCGCCCTCCACCTGCTACTCGGTGCACATCGTGCACTCCCACTGTCTTTTGCCCCTCTTGTGCACAAATCGGGTTGCGCCCCCCCCCCCCCCCCGCCCCGAGCTCTGACATATTCAGAGATGTCTCCAGTTAATTGCCTCGATCCAGAGTAACCATTGCCCCTCAAGATCAAGTCCTGGAGTAGCCTCTGGTCTTGCTTATTTAGCCTTTGGCTTTCCCTTGTTAGACACTGCCTGTCACTCGGGCATTCATCTGTCTTTGAAGGTGGGTGCCTTCAAAGACAACAAGAACTGCCCTGTTCTTTAGGAAGCCTCAGGCGGTAGAAAGAGCATGGAGGTGATAGGAGTCTGGGGCTTGGGGTCCTCCTCCATGCAGTTCTGGCACTGAAGTCCATTGTAGCATGCTTTGAGGCAATCGTCAGGCTCCCTGCCTCAGTTTCCTTAGCCCTCCCAGGAGAGACATAGCCAACTGACCCATCAGGTGCCTTTTGCAGCTGTAACTTTCCGTGACCTTTGCTCATCACCACTTTATTCACTGCTTCAAGAAGCAAAAGCAAGAAAGGAACCACCACAAGGTCAATCAGCCGCTGGAGGAGTTGATGCCAGCAGGGAGAGCTTGCGCTGCTCTCAGCACCAGCCTCCCAGCAGCTTCCTCACAGGCTGGGCTTGGGGCCATCCTTTGTGCCTGTGTAAAAATTGCAGTTGCCGTGTGTAGCCGTGGGCCACGGAAGGTCCCTGTCACAGCCGGCAGACCCCGCGCCCTGCTTCTGCTTATTCAGCATCTTTTCAGGGCTGCTTGTGTTTGATGGCTTCACAAAGCTTTCTTTTTTCAAGCGGTAGCTACAGAAGAGAAGAAAGTTACTTAGGTTGCCAAGATTTTCCTGCTGTGCTTGGCAGCAGGCTTTTTTTGTTGAAGGACTGGGGAGAAAGGAGGATCTTGTGACATCTTGAGACGTGCAAGTTGTGGGGTTGGTGTGATTCTGAATCCTCCGCTGTGTGTGAGCAGCCTGCTCAGGGGCAGTGTACGTGGCTGATCTCCATAGTCCTGCCCGCGTGGATTGGGGGGTTATTCTCAGGTCAGCCCAGTGTTGGCCTCCCTCCCTGGGAACCCAAATCCAACTTTGTCACTTGTTTAAATTGTACAGAAGGAGCAGATGACATTCCTGGGCCAGTGACCTGGGAGCCAAGGCCTGAAAACTCCATCTTTTTAAAGTGGCCAGAACCTGAGAATCCCAATGGATTGATTCTAATGTATGAAATAAAATACGGATCACAAGTTGAGGTAGGACTGGGGCCGTGGCCTGTGCCCGCATGTATGTATTTCCATCCATTGACAACATATGCTACCTGACTGCGCAGGATACCTCCTGGTTAGCATAGGAGTTAAAACAATAAAATACGTGCCAAGCTGGTGAGGATTTGGGTCTTTCTACCCACTCCATACTCTCTAAGGAGTACTCCATAGAGGGCAAAGAGCTAGGCTGCTTTTTGCCTTCAAGAAATGATTTCATTATTTAAGATAACCTTGTGGCATAGGCCAGATCAGTTCTAATAACTTTTAATCCTTCTGGAGTGCTTGGTTACAAAAATGTTTGGTTAAAGCTTTTGGGTGTACTTAAAGCCACCTGAAGACGGCCTTTTAAGATTTGATTTCTTTCTCTTTACTGACACTCGGGATCATTGTTAGGTGGGAGGTCATATCAGGCAGCTGGAGTCCCCAGTGTGGTGAGTTTAGTTGGCAGGCCCAAGATTTCTCCTGCGTTCATGGGAAATTGACATGTATGTTTTATTTCCCCAGGATCAGCGAGAATGTGTGTCCAGACAGGAATACAGGAAGTATGGAGGGGCCAAGCTAAACCGGCTAAACCCAGGGAACTACACAGCCCGGATTCAGGCTACATCTCTCTCTGGGAATGGGTCGTGGACAGATCCTGTGTTCTTCTATGTCCAGGCCAAAAGTAAGGCTTGTGGAGGGAGAAGAAATGTGTAAAACTGAAAGCAGGGTGGTCCAGGATTAGGACAGCCTGAGTGTTTATGGCCCTCTTATTTTCTGTTAAAATAGAGTTGGCCAGCTTTCAGAAGGGTCATGCTAAGGTGCCGGCACATACCAGCACTTTGTGTGGAACCTTGGGCGGGGCAGATGCTGAGCTTTGGGCCCCTACCTCATGTGGCAGGAAGGGAGAGGAACTGAGCCTCTCTTTTGAGGTGGTGCAACCACTGGAGAGCCAGAGGAGACTGTTGCTTTCGACCTGGCTTATATTCAAAGACCTTTCTTTTTCTTTCTTTCTTTCTTTCCTTTTTTTTTTTTACAAACGACATTTTATAAAGCATTGAATTGACCATTCCACCTCCTACTTTGTCAGTAAAACTAGATAGGGCTCAGATTCAGGGCTTGAAGTCCTAAGGGGTGAAAGGAACTCCAGAGGTCATCTGGTTCAGCCTGCTACAGGGCAGGAATTTCCATGGTAGCATCCCAGACCCTCCAGTGCCCTTTTAAAGCCCCCATATGCCTTGGAAATGTACGGTGCTCACCCTTTGGTGCAGAGACTGAGGAATGTGAGTTTATGCTCAAGTCATTAACAAGAGAATTCTTAGGCTGTTCTGTGTGATGACTTCAGATTTTAAAACAAATTACAGGATGTGTAAGTACAACAAGAGCCACATATTTGTTGTTTGACCAACAAAATTTAATATTTTGGTGAAATTATTTCTGTGTTGAGTTTCTGTTATTTCTTTTTAGAAACCCAGTTTTTAAGATTATTTCATGTTCATGGAATGGAATCAAATTTGGCATAACACATAAAATAGCAATGCAGCCTTGCTTAGTGGTAACACTCTTGGGTCTAGTGGGCTGATCTTTCCTGGTGTCCACATTTCTGCTATGCGGATCTGGAGTTACGTTAAAACATGCACTCGGCCCGGCGCGGTGGCTCACGCCTGTAATCCCAGCACTTCAGGAGGCCAAGTGGGCGGATCACTTAAGGTCAGGAGTTTGAGACTAGCCTGGCCAACATAGTGAAACCCCATCTCTACTGAAAATACAAAAATTAGTTGGGGGCGGTGGTGCAAGCCTGTAATCCCAGCTACTTGGGAGGCTGAGGCAGGAGAATCTCTTGAACCCAGGAGGCTGAGGTTGCAGTGAGCCGAGATAATGCCACTGTACTCCAGCCTGGCCAACAGAGCAGGACTCTGTCTAAAAAAAAAAAAGAAAAGAAAAGAAAAAAAAAAACACGCACTCAACAGGTCTAGCAATCTCACTTCTAGTATATTTCCAAAGGCAATGAAATCGGTATGTCGAAGAGCTTTCTGCACTCCCGCGTTCACTGCAACACTTCGCAATGGCCAAGACATGGAATCCACCTAATGTCCATCACTATGTACATAAATGGGTAAAGAAAACCTGGCACATACACATTATAGAATACTATTCTACCATAAATTAGAAAAAAAATGTCATTTGTGGCAACCTGGCTGAACCTGGAGGACATGATGTTAAGTTAAATAAGCCAGACACAGAAAGACAAATACCACATGATCTTACTGATAATGTGGAATCTTAAAAAGTTAAGTTCATGGAGAGTAGAATGGAGGTTACCAGGGCTGAGGGTGAGGGAGCAGATTTGGGAAGATGTTAGTCAAAGGATACAAAATTTCAGTTAGGAAGAATAAGTTCAGTAGATCTATTGTACAACATGATGACAGTAATAATGATGTATTCTTAAAAATTGCTGAGACAATAGATTTTAAGTGTTCTCACCAAACACACACAAAAAATGTGTTGTAATACATATGTTCATTAGCTTAATTCAGCCGTTCTACAATGTGTACATATTTCAAAACAATATGTTGTACATGATAAATATGTACAATTTTTATTTGTATATTAAAATTAATTAATTTTAAAAAAAAAGTCTCCAGTAGTCATCTGGTCAGCACCCAATATTCTAATCTGTTTGTGATATCTGAAAATCCTAATACAGCAAAAGCAGGATGGGGGTGAATAGAACTGCAAATCTTGAGCCAACATTTTATGTGCCTGGCATTGTTCCTGGGTTCAGGTTTTTAGAGGTAAATGGATGTTTAGGCAGATAATTTTGTCAATTAAAATAGAATTCTCCCATCTAGTCCAGTTAACCTAGTCTCACCAGTTAGTCTGTGCCACCTTTGCAGCACCTAGAACCTTCACAATATTCCTGTAACCTTGTCCAGAGTAGTGGCTTGCTTGCTTTCTCTCCCCAGCCTCCTTCCCTTCTCTTTTTCCTCCCTTCCATCTCCTAGAAACAGAGCCTACCTAGTTTGGGGGTCTGTGATCTGTGAAACAGCAGCCTTGGCTTCTGGGGTTGAGTGAACTCAGCTTGTTTTGGTGACATGACATGTTCCTGTCTGCCTGTGCTGCTCCATTTTTAACCTTGTAAGTGCCAGGATGCCAGTGGGAAATCAGGAGTCCTTCTGATGAAATTTTTCCAGCAGATATTATCACATACTGCAGGGAAATTGAATCTATGTGCTGGCCTTACTGTTGAGAAATTTTTCCTTATGTCAGACAAGACTCTGTCCTACTACAGTTTAGTCTCATTTCCTCTTATTTAATCCTCAGAGGATATGGAAGGTTTGGAAGCTTTCAGGCAACTGCCTTCCTTTTAGGAACTCCTTGTGTGCCTGAATACTATTAAATCACTCCTCAGACTTCTCTTTTCCAGATGAAATAATCTCAGGTCTTTTGGCCTTTTCTTGTAGCCCAGTATCATACACCAATTTCCCAGCCATTTAATCATTTTGTTCTTCTCTGGATGTGTTCCAGTTTCTCTATGTCCCTGTTGAAATGTGAAACTCAAAAAGAACACAGTACAGCCTGACCAGTAGTATAAGTGATATAAACAGCAGGCCTCAGTGGGGAAGAAAGAAAAATCTGCCAGCTTCCCCTTGGTAATGATCACCTGTGAGTGTTTTGAGGAATTATAAAATGCCAGATACTGCATCCATTTTAAGAGACACAATATCAATAAAAATCTTTTTTCTTCGATCAAAATACTTCTAATTTTAAAAATTAAAACAGCTTTAGTAGTCTTTAAAGAGTAACCATGATCACAGTTTTTAATGGCAAAATAATCATTGATAGGGAACTTATGATTAATGTTAACTTGATCCCCAGTGATTCCAAGCCCATTTCCGCATAGACATCTGTGCTTAGATGTCTCAGAGAGGTCTCAGATTCGTTGTGTCAAAACCAAAATCATAGTTGTTGCCCTCAAAAGGCCTCTTCTCTCCTTTGCTGCTTAGCTCAGTCAGTGGCCTTGTAATCCATTCGTTACCCAAGCCAGGAACCTCACAGCATCCCTCACTCTTCTTTCTCTCGAGCCACCCCTTTTTCATTCCAACCCAAGCCTCATGGATTCTGCCTGTTAAATGTCTCTGGAATCCAGCCATCTATCACCACCAGCACCGCCACAGCTCAGACTCCAGGTCACTCACCCTGGGGGGATGGTATGAGCTATCATATTGTATGAGCCTCTTCCTGGGGCCATGACTTACCAAGCCAGAGCATCTCTGTGAGTCTGCCTGGTGTATAGACAAGGATTGGTGACTTCTTTGTAGGTCTGAACTGGGTAATGCAGAGCATGCCCAGGAAACATGGCTTGTACCCCCAATTCTCTAAGACATGACAGTGCCTTCTCTTACTGCCAGATCCCTCAGTCTGTCCTCAGCACAGCCATTTCCCTGGATCTCAAATCTTACCAGTTCACTGCTGGGCCTGAAAGCTTTCGCTGACTCCTTTTAATCTGCAGAATGAGGTTGAAACTGCTTAGCTTGGACAGGGTCCCTTGTGAGCTGGCCCTGACATCTCTCCAGCATCATCATTTTCTAGGAAAGCCATTTCCCCACAACCCCCAAGAAAAGCATATCATAAAGAAGTTTTCCCTTAGGGAGGTTCCCTTGACTCCCTTCTCTCCTCTCCTTTCCTCTCTGAATCCTTGCCATATGCGAAGTCCACTTTTCTAGTTGTCATGCTACCTGTTGACACTGATTTCCCATGTCCCACAGAATGTTTCAGGGTGAGAGTCCATGTCCCTGGTGCCCAGCCAGGCATCTGCCATACAAGTGCTGGTTCTGATGATCAGTGGTCTCTGTGGTCTTAGACTTGTAACAGGACTCAAATGTTTGCAGCAGCATTGGAAAGGGGTGCCATCCAGTGTGTGAATGTGTGTGTGTGTTTATTTTAAATTGTCTATGGAACTATCTCAAAGATTAAGGCTGGCAGGACTTGATCTATACATAGATGTAGACTATACATAGATGTAAGAATTTCTGTTCATTTTATAAAAATGAATAGAAATTTTCATTCTGTTTATTAGAAATAGAATGCTTGCTGCTGCAAGTATTTGAGTCGTTTTACAGATGTGAGATCACAGAGACCCCTTACCACCAGAACCAACACTTGTATGGCAGATGCTAGGCTGGGTACCAGGGACATGGACCAAACCCTGGAACATTCTGTGGGATGTGGGAAATTAGTGTCAAATGTATGCATTTTCACTAACAGTCATTAAACTGCATGCAAAGATTATTTTTCTTCAGTCTATCATTGAAACTATTACACCAGAATATACTGTACTTTAAAAAATGAGTTTATGCCTCAGTCTGCACCTATTTACTCTTTTTTCAAATAATTGTTTGCCATGTTCTATTTCTGACACCATTTACCTTCAGGAATTCTTACTGTATGATGGGGAATAAATGAATATACAGGTATTTTTTTCGTACTTCTGACTGAATGTGAAAAAATGAAATGAGCAGATTCTTCACCTGGTGATATTTATCATTTCCTCCTCTTTGCTGCAGCAGGATACGAAAACTTCATCCATCTGATCATCGCTCTGCCCGTCGCTGTCCTGTTGATCGTGGGAGGGTTGGTGATCATGCTGTACGTCTTCCATAGAAAGAGGTCAGTGATGTGCAAAGTTATGACACTTTCTGTGGCTAAGTGGTTTGATGATTTGAATGTGAGTGAAGGTAATCTTTTTGAAGATTTCAAGGAAATATTTTATGGACTGGAAAACCTGATTTTCCCATCAAGTGTTCTTCCAGGAAAAGAGAACCTTTTCTAATGATTTTAACAACAGCCAAAATAATTTTTCGATAGTACAGACCTTCCCCTGGCTGGCTTCTCTGGTACACAGAACTGCTGCTGGTGCATGCTTTTCCAAATGTGATGCACTAGCCCTCCCAATCAAATAAGCCTTTTTATTTCCAATGAAGTAAAGAAACGGATGTTTCTTAAAAAGCTCTAATTTCAGGCTACTGCGGAAGCCAGAAGATGTGTTAGCAAATGTCTGCTGGCCCACCCAGGCCTGAATTGGGAGTGTAGACAAGAGCTGCTGTAAACAGTAAGCTCTCCCCATTCTCTTCTGCTGATACTGTGTGAGACAGAACAAATGAAACTGTTGTAGCAAAGATGAAAGTATATACAGAAATGTATGGAGGTGGGGTTTTGTTAACGTAAGTTTAATATTTTTGACAGAAATAACAGCAGGCTGGGGAATGGAGTGCTGTACGCGTCTGTGAACCCGGAGTACTTCAGCGCTGCGGATGGTAAGAGTCCGGGCCACCGGCACTGCTAGCGTGCCGGGGAGGTAGATCGGGAGCTTCAGGAGGGTTGCTTATTCGGGAAAGGAAGGAGGTTTGCATTATTTTGAGCTACCTTTGGCCTTGGACCTGTCTTCATTAATATTTCTTTTTTTTTTTTAATCAAAGTTTTTAGCAGTTCAGTGAATATGTCAAGACTTGTGAACTGTATGGGGTGCCCCAAGGAAACACAGGCTTTAGAGATGAATGTGGCCAGCACAGTAATCAATTTATTTAATTGCTTGAGATGTTATGCTAGAATGAAAACAGCTTTTTAATTGTTAACATCTAGTCAGAGGATGTGCTGCAGCTGACAAAACAGTCCTTTTAAACTAGTTTCAGCTTGAGTATCATCTCATTATAATTGTCTTTGATGAATTACAGCTCTGCTTTTTTTTTAATCATGGAATTTTTCTGTCATTCCCTTCGACTAGGGTTATACGCTCATGGATCATTCACATTCCCTTTGGTAATAACTAATGAGGGCCATTCAGTTAAGCGGCTGGGAAGGTCTGACATGGAAGTTGGGTGATCCTCAATGGTTATTTCCTTTTTTGCTCTTTTCTTTCTAGTATTTTTATATCCAGACCTTTTGAGTGAGTCAGATTAGAGTGAGGGGTTGGTCATTGAGTCCAGTGATACTAGGACCCTTAACTGGCACTTTGCTAGGGGCTTTTACAAACACCATCCCATTTATTTCTTAAACCCCTGCAAAGTGGGTTTTCTTAATGCCCATCTGCAGGTGAAGAAATGAGCTCCCGAAGAAACTTGTGCAGGGTCACATAGCTAGACAGTTGAGAAGTCAGGAGGAGAATGGAATCACTGCGGAAAGGGCTGTGAGGTCCCCTGGGCAGGCAAGGAACTGGCCCGCAGGAGGGGCTGGACTGGATTCATCAAATGAATAAATAAGTTGAGTGAGTATGTTTAGAGGAAAGTGTTTGCTGCCTTCTTGCCTCGGGAGAAGTGAAAGTAGATGCAGGAGATGTGAAATAAAGAGACATGATTGTTGTAATTATTGTGGTCAAATGAGAAAACATAAGAAAATACTTTGATAATGTGAAAACACCGTTATACTGTGTAGGGTTTTACTATGGTTTCTTTAATCATTTCTAATTCAGTTTATGGTAAAGTCAATCAAAAGCAGCCGCCTCTGAATGGGAATCAGGTGCAGAATAATAAGGACATTATTTCTGTCTACATAAAGATCTCACAAAGTTGGTTTCTTAATAGTAGTATATACATGCATACATCTGTATGTTTGTGTATGTAAGGCAGAAAGAACATTCTGGATGGATGCACACCACACTTAAAAGAGTTGTTACTTGTGGAGAGGATCTTTCCCTTTTTAAAAAAAAAAAAAAGCCAGATGTTTGTTGCATGCACCTGTAGTCCCGGCTACTCAGGAGACTGAGAGGATTACCTGAGCCCAAGGGCTGCAATGAGCTAGAATCTCACCACTGCACTACAGCCTAGACTATAGAGCGAGACTGGCTCTTAAAAATCAAAATCCATCAAGAAGATAGATATGCATTGTTTGTATAAATAATAGCTTCTAAAAAAGAAAAAAACAGGAAGGGAGTCATCCCAGATAATGGAATTGATAGGAACAAGGCAAGACCGCTTTCCCCTCTGTGAGGGTGGACTGTGACCGTACCAGAGAAGCTATTCTGCTTTGAAATACAGCACTAGAGGTTGGTGTGTGTAGTTTTTTGACTATGAAGTGTCCAGGAAGAGAAAGAAAGCATCAATAAAATCAGATTCTCATGGTGACTTTAATTCACATTTTGTGTCCTTCTAGAATGCTTTCATGATATGTCTTGGTACTTCATTAAAACAAAAACAAACTTATTGCCACCCATGCCGACAGGTGGGAACGGTGTCACCTTATTTGAACTTAATTTATTCGGCCTTTGACAAGCACCTTATAGCCAGTATCCTCAAGGGGCAACAAAATGACTTTGCAGTTCAAAAGTGCTTTAAAAACTTGCTTTTCCCAAAGCTAATCTGCATGTCACCATTCTCCAGAGTACATTGAAAATCCCCTACAGGAAAGTGCTGATAACATTGAGCACAGAAACCACTCCTGGCTGGTGGCGCTGGGGACTGCTGCTTAAAGTCAGAGCTGCTGGGTTGAATGTAGAGAAAAGGATTGAGGGTATTGACTTCAGAGATCTCCCAGGGAATGAATGTGATTGGTTTTAACTCCATGTTTTATGGCAGGCTAAATAGTTAATTCTGATTAAAAGCAAGCCTGGATTCTCAGAGATAAATGGCTGGAGACAATGAACTCTTTACACTTTCTGAGGGGCATTGTGAAGAGCCTTATCTCCTGGGTTGTTTTGCATACTTACTCTCCTCTGACAAGCACCCGCCTCTTCTTCAGGGGTGCAAGCCACCTATGCCAGCTGGAGGGCAGAGTTCCATTCGTGAAACCCTTGAGACATATGTACTGTAAAGTACAAAAATGTATAGGAAAGAAAACTGAAGATGATTAATAAAGTTCATATTGGACACCCCTCAGAGGTCTAAATTGATGGTGCCCCTCCTGGGCCTAATTTATAATAAACATCTGTCCTTTTAGACATCACTTAAGGGTCGATAGTTGGGATATGGAGATGTTGGGATACAGTTGTCAGCCTCTCACATCCAGCCACAGGCCCAGGGTCAGCATCTGAAAGCATTAAAGCAAAAACAGGCACCATCTCCACTTCCTTTCTAGCCAGGACCACTTCCTTCCCACAGTCAGCATGTGGTAGAGCCTGGTGGCAGGTCCCGTCAGGCAAGGACATTAGCACACAGCATCAGAGGAATTATTGACGTTTCGTATGGATCTTACGGAATAGGTTGATTTTATTTTCATTTTTACCCTACCCATTTGGTGATGTAGAATTAAGCCTCTGGTTTTGTTTTCTTTCTGATCTTTTTTCTTTTTTTCTGTTTTGCCTAAAAATATTTGTTTATTCATTCATTCGTTTTTTTGAGACAGGTCCTCACTCTGTTGCCCAGGCTGGAGTGCAGTGGTGTGATCTCAGCTCACTGTAGCCTCAACCTCCTGGGCTCAGGCAGTTCTCCTGCCTCAGCCCCCTGACTAGCTGGGATTCCAGGTGTGTGCCACCACACCTGGCTAATTTTTTAATAGAGATGGTGTTTTGCCATGTTGCCCAGGCTGGTCTCAGATTCCTGGGCTCAAGCAATCTTCCCATCTTGGCCTGCGATTACAGGCGTGAGCCACTGCACGCGGCCTATTTATTTTCTTAAACCAGATCGAATCTAAACAGAAACTGGAGAAGAAATCCTATTCAGGCTTGGTATTTACTGTGCATTCCTCCGTTGGCGAAGGTCCTCCTGAGTTCACAGAGCCCTGGAAATGCCTCTGCTCATCAGCTGCCTAATTCCCTCTCCACACTGGGCACCACCAAGTCTCTCCCTCAGTCTCAGAGCTCAGTTGCTTCTGCACCTCATCAGGGATCCAGCCATCAAAGCCAAGGCTGGGGACACTTTGATTAGAGTAATCCTACCAATAATGTAATTCACCTTTGTAACCGCAAATTTTGTAGTAGCCGTATTTTTTAAAAGTAAAAAGAAACAGATCACAAATGCATTTTAATAATGTTTTTAATTCAAATAATATGTTTTATTTAACCCATTATAGCCAAAATATCCATTTTAACATGCAGTCAGTATTAAAGTTACCTAAATACTTTTTTTTTTTTTTTTTTTTGGCTGGTCTTTGAAATCCCATGTGTATTTTATTTACACTTACAGCATGTCTCAAATTGGACTAGCCACATGGAGTGCTCAGGAGTCCCATGTAGGGACCAGCTACCGTGTTAGATAGCCCAGGCATGGCATCTGTGTTGAGGGCCCTGACATCCCTTTTGGATTCATCCAGGAAGTAGGACCTCACATGCACCATCATCACCTCTCACATGCGACTCTGACCATTTTCCCAACCCAGCATAAGAACTCTTCCCTCTCGCTCCTGCTCTCCTCCTTTTCACATTTGCATTTTAATCTGTTGGTGAAGATGGGTAGAGTCCTGCTTGACCATTTCATTCAGTTTCTCTATCCCCTATGGTTAATTTGTTTTTTTCAAAAATGTATTTTTATATGATGAAATCTAAAAAAACAACTGCTTTCTTTCCTATACTAGACTTCTTTGCTTTGTTCTGGCCCTTATATCTGTTAGTATCCTCAGATTATCTTGAAATCCTCAGAGACTTGAAATACTAGTACTGACTGTACAGTTTTCTTACTCAAATCGATAGCATGTGGAAAGTTGAGAGCAAGCCATGCCATCACTTCCTGGTATTCTCCTTTGTGGGTTTAAGGAAGTAGCTTTTTACATTCTTTGGCTTAGAGTTCCCCCAAAGCACGTTCTGTCTAAGGCCTTGTTTCTGTACCTGCTTTAATTACGGTTTCTTCTCCAGTGTACGTTCCTGATGAGTGGGAGGTGGCTCGGGAGAAGATCACCATGAGCCGGGAACTTGGGCAGGGGTCGTTTGGGATGGTCTATGAAGGAGTTGCCAAGGGTGTGGTGAAAGACGAACCTGAAACCAGAGTGGCCATTAAAACAGTGAACGAGGCCGCGAGCATGCGTGAAAGGATCGAGTTTCTCAACGAGGCTTCTGTGATGAAGGAGTTCAATTGTCACCATGTGGTAAGAGAAAGTTCCTGAAAAGCCAAAATGCTGCACAGGAAGAGGGTACCACACAAGCCCCTCAGTGTGTTCTTGGCTACATATACCTGTGGGTTTGGTGTCTTGCCTTTGCCTTTTGGATAGTTACCCCATTACCTCACTGTTACCTTCCGACCTCTATGCTCAGACCAGGCCACAGCACCACAGAGACAGTTCCAGACAACACAGGCACCAGCAAGGGCCACCCTGACCCTCTGAGTCTTTCTCTTTTTGATTCCTCCCAGGTGCGGTTGCTGGGTGTGGTGTCCCAGGGCCAGCCAACGCTGGTCATCATGGAACTGATGACGCGGGGCGATCTCAAAAGTTATCTCCGGTCTCTGAGGCCAGAAATGGAGGTCAGTTTTCATTTCCACCAGTATTACGTGTTGCCTTGTCTAGCTGTCTTTCCTTTAGAACCTCTCTGCAAGGAAATGCTGTGTCTTTAAATCAGTTTACTCTTCCAGCGTCCAGTGTTTCTTACTGCATGCTCAGTTATAGGTCATTTGTGCAACGGATTTCCCCAACTAGAGTCAGACTCTGATCTTTGTGAGGGGAACTTCCTGTTCCTTGGATCCCCTCTGCTAAGCCCCTCTGTGCCTTTGTTCCTGCATTCCCTCTGCCCCCAGTCCCTTCCCCACATCAGTGTCCACCTGCCAAGCCAGGCCAGTGCCACTCTTTCCCCGAAGTTTTCCTGCCCCACTCCAGTAACCGTCTCCTCTGCTAACTTCTCGACGCGCTTGACTCATGTCCTTGCATGCATTCTCTCTCGTTGTGTTGTGTTGTGTTGTTGTGGGAGTGTGTCCCCCCCCCATTGTGTTTAGCTTTTAATGTCAGTCCAAACGCGTGGCTCGGGGCCGCATTTGTGGCAGGCACTCTGTCAATAAATGTGTGTTACAGTTCAAGGTTAAGCTGCCTGGATTCTTGCCCTTGCATCTGAGAAGTTGCTGGGTGATTTCCCACCCAGCTCTGTGCACAAGATGTTCACCCATTCATAAACCCACTCCCCACACACAGCCCCCTTCCTCGGCATTGTTGGTGGTCCTTGTCTTTGCCACTGGGAGTCTGGTTTCCTCAGACTCTACGTCCACATTTCAGGATTGATCCAGGGTCAATGTCTTGCTTGCACTTTTGAATGAATGATCCCACCTCAGTGGCAGGATTTCTGCTTAGTTTCCTAAAAATTTCACTTTGGGTTATGAGCTTCAAATTCTAAACCTGCTGAAGTGCTATGCAATTTTTCATTAGTCACCATGGTATCTCCCCCCTCTGTAGTATTAACCTACAGGCCAGCTTTTTAACGTATGCAGGCATGACTTTTGAGTAATTAATTCTACAGATAAGCTGGGAGATAAATGCTGAGAAATAAAGCCAGCAACAACTGTGTTTTCATTTGGCTGCCTCCGTGGGTCCGAAGTCCTCCTTTTGACCCTTACTTTGCTACTTACGGGGAAGCAATGTGTCTGCTTTTATTCCTTAGAAGCAGTAACTTCCCCTTCTTGGCCCCTTTGGAAGTTCTTTTGCCGTTCTTCATTTGGGCTTTTTTTTTTTTTTTTTTTTTTTTAATGTTCTTTGAATCGGCAACTTAATCATCTTCCAAGTGACAGTTTCTTAATTTTAGTTCCAAACACCTGTTCATGTATGACTTCATTTATTTACAGCACATTGTGTTTGGGGCCAACTGTGGACTGGGGCTCCAAGCAGGGTGGTTTACAAAACTCCCATCCTCTGTTCCACCAAGCATTGGTCCCCAGCACCCCTGGGTGTTAGTGCCTCTTCCTGGTTCACTCACTCACTTTCTGTCTCTCTCTCTCTTTCTCTCTGTCTCTCTTGCTCTCTTTCTTTGTCTTTCTTTCTTTTTCTTTCTTTCTTTCTTTCTTTTCTTTCTTTTCTTTTCTTTTCTTTGTTTCATTCTGTCTTTCTGTCTTTCTTTCTTGATGGAGTTTTGCTCTGTTGCCCAGGCTGGGGTACAGTGGCATGATCTCAGCTCACTGCAACCTCCACCACCCAGGTTCAAGCGATTCTCCTGCCTCAGTTTCCCAAGTAGCTGGGTTTACAGGTGTGCACCACCATGCCCAGCTAATTTTTGTATTTTTAGTAGAGACGGGGTTTCACCATGTTGGCCAGGCTGGTCTTGAACTCCTGACCTCAGGTGATTCACCCACCTCAGCCTCCCAAAGTGCTGGGATTATAGGTGTGAGTCGCTGTGCCTGGCCCTTGGTTCACTTTAATACACAAAACAGCATGAAGGAGAAAAGCTTGATGAAACAGGTGACTGGAGATTTGGCAGAGTATTTCCTGCCAGCATCGTTTGAGGCACCTCTGAAAAGTCCGAAACTTACTCCCTTCCTCCCCAGTTTCAGGCACAGAATAAAAATTCAGAACATGTGGCCTCGGTCATGGCTCTGTGGCTGGCTGCCTGTGGTCCTCAGCCAGCCACTGCAGGTTCCTGGGCCTCAGTGTCCTCAATATAAAATAACAGGGTGGGACAAGATTACTGAAGTCCCTTTCAGAACTAAAATTCACCTTTAGATTGGTCAGATTTAAATTTTTTTTTTCTAGCTCATGTCAAGTATTAAAATGTGTGTGCTTACCCTGCAGTTTCATTATATTCAGTCTGCTCCCCCGACCAAGATTCACTTATTTATCTCACTAAGCGTACGTGTATGTGTATACTTGCCTTAAATAGCTGTAACCAAATTAAAGATTTCTGCTAAGACGAATGAAAGAATGGCAGTGCAACACCATAAACGGACAAAATTTCAGCCCTCTCTCTCTGTGCTTAAAGTTGAGTGCTTTTATTGATTCTGTTGTTCACAGCAATTATAAATGACCACTTCATAACACATATACGTCATGTTGTAATATTCAAGTATTGTGAGCATAAACTTTACGTTTCACATGCATATTTCCTAAGGCACCACACATATCTAAAGCCCTAAAAAGTAGTGATTTGGACTTACCCCCACTGACTTAATGTCACTTCCCCAGATAACCACGTGATAAGTATTTTAAGTCGCCAAGAGACAGCTTTGACAGCCTGTTCAAAATTCAAAGGTTTGTGTCTCTGAGTGTAGAGAACCAACCCAGAAGTACTGAGGAGTTGTTATACTGATTCCAAATACTAGCTTTCAGTAGAAACTAGCACCTCGTAGGGCAACAGCCAGCATCTACTGAGCATTGACTATGTGCCAGGCACCACTGGGTACTTTCTGTGCATGGCCCCAGGTCATCTTCTAATCAGTGAAACCATCGTGATACCCCATGTGGAAGAGCCTGGGCATGCTCATCCGGTGGCCTATCAGAGCCCTATGGCTTTGCAGTGTTGTGTGAGATGCTTTGCAGTCAGGAAAACCAAGGTAAAGTCTATTGCACTTGGATATGCGAGAGTAAAAGGTAGCATGAAAATTAGGGACTAGTGATTGTTTTAGGATGGAGAAACTTGGGCATATGTTTTATATAAAGCTTTTTATATATGTTTTTATATAAAGCTTTTTTCTAAATGGATGTATTATTTAGGGGTAATTCTTTTTAATTCCAAAGCCAGCATGTTGCTGTCCTCTGCAAACAGGAGATGCTTATCCATGTTACTTATTCCTGGTCTCCTCCAAGATAAGCTCCAGCTGGACTTCAGTTGTCAAGGACTTGTCTTCCATAATGCCCACAGAAAATAATAATGCCACATTGTAAGGTGAAAAGAGTAATCCTGGTATTTTTGTATTTTAGAAGAAGGTTAAAGGGAAAGAAAAGGATTAAATAAGTTATAATGATGCTTTTATGGGAAACAAAATATACCATATCCATTTGGAAACACATTTGCTTACTTCCACACAGCCTTTGTAACGTGCTGTCCTTCCTCTTATCTGTACTTTGGTGATGGAAATAAAAGGAACATATAAACGAATAGTAATTTGAGTAACTGAGAATCCTTACTACCAAATATTGCTTGTTTCACTTTAAAAAATTTTTTGCCCTACCCACAATAGAAAATGCTGGTCCTAGAGAGAGCAAACTGGTGTTTCCCTCGGCAGCTCTGTGACGTGGTCAGGGAGCAAGCGCAGATAAACTTGCGGGAGCAAACAGGTGCCATGCTCTCCATGATGGTTTGTTCCTTCCGAGCAAGTCCTGGTTTCTTAGCATAAACAACCCACGGTGCCCAGATTGGACAAAGATGATTTGCAAACCTCGAAAGAAAATTGGCATAGAAAAACAATCCAAAATTCTCATGTGAATTTTTTTTAATCTCCAACAGAATAATCCAGTCCTAGCACCTCCAAGCCTAAGCAAGATGATTCAGATGGCTGGAGAGATTGCAGACGGCATGGCATACCTCAACGCCAACAAGTTCGTCCACAGAGACCTTGCTGCCCGGAATTGCATGGTAGCCGAGGATTTCACAGTCAAAATTGGAGGTGTGTCCTTAGCTTTCCAGATCTGAGCAAGAACTGAACTCACAGGTGTTTTGAGGACCTTGTTGGCATTAGTCTGCCCCTGGAGAGGTTTTCTAGTGTGTCCCTTGAGTGCACGGACTCTTTCTTGGGAATGATGTGATTGTCTCCAGTTGATGGTCACAAACCTGGTATGGTCAGCCCCAGTGCTGATTGCTCTTGGACATGGTGGTTCAGCTACTGGGCATGGTCCCTGAGGCTGCCTCTCCAGATATTTGAGGCATTTCTTGGTAGAACACATCTTAGCATTGGTTACAGAAATAATCAAGACAATGTCTTCAGGAGATTTCGACTTGGGAATAAAACCCATTGTCCAACTTTGCATTCATCCCTCAAATTTTCCTAGCTTATAAGGAGCATTGCTCCCCTTCCAGGGGTGCACATTGTTTTCTTTTTTTTTTTTTTTTTTTTGAGACAGAGTCTCGCTCTGTCGCCCAGGCTGGAGTGCTGTGGCCGGATCTCAGCTCACTGCAAGCTCCGCCTCCCGGGTTCCCGCCATTCTCCTGCCTCAGCCTCCCGAGTAGCTGGGACTACAGGCGCCCGCCACCTCGCCCGGCTAGTTTTTTGTATTTTTTAGTAGAGACGGGGTTTCACCGTGTTAGCCAGGATGGTCTCGATCTCCTGACCTCGTGATCCGCCCGTCTCGGCCTCCCAAAGTGCTGGGATTACAGGCTTGAGCCACCGCGCCCGGCCACACATTGTTTCCTAAGAGGTGAGCTGCCCTAATGTTGAAGCCTCTGCACGGAGCAGGAGAAGTGGCAGGAGCTGGCATGGCAGTGCCTTAGGTGAGGGACGATCACTGCTCACTGGGTTTCACAGCCGGGGCCGGACAGCCTCCAAGCTCTCGACCACTCTCTCACAACACTTACTGTCCTGCTCTTAGCTGACCAGCCTACTGGTTAGACCCCCTTGTTGCCACCACCCACTGTCACACCAGAAAAGGGGTTGAATTGAATTTCTGAGCAATGGTTAAAACCCACTTCAGCCTTTAGGTTTGTGTTTTTACTTTGATCTTTTAATCTGCCTAATAAAACACACATAACACCAGGGCTGCTCAGGAAACCACTACTTTTACCAGGATTCTCATCTTCCCACTATGATATGATGATAGTTTAGAAAAATACCAAATATTTATCCTGAGAAATTGCAGGGGAGATTTAACACCCAAAAGAAGCTATTTCAGATGGACCTCTGTGTCTAGTTCTTGAGCTGCCTTTTCTGGAAGTGTTCGCCTTCCTTTAGTAACATAGTTTTTTCTTTTAGTGGTGATTTTTAAATGAAATGTTTTAGCCCCTTTAGTGAACAATGAGAATCCTTTAGAGAATGGTTTCTTTTTTTGAGACGGAGTTTTGCTCTTGTTGCCCAAGCTGGAGTGCAATGGCGCAATCTTGGCTCACCACAAGCTCCACCTCCCAGGTTCAAGCGATTCTCCTGCCTCAGCCTCCTGAGGAGCTGGGATTACAGGCGCATGCCACCACACCCAGCTAGTCTTTTGTATTTTTAGTAAAAACAGGGTTTCATCATGTTAGCCAGGCTGGTCTTGAACTCCTGACCTCAGGTGATCCACCCGCCTCGGCCTCTCAAAGTGCTGTGATTACAGGCGTGAACCACTGTGCCTGGCTGAGAATGGTTTCTAAAGTAGGAGTTAGTGTCTCTTTTTCCTCTGTAGGACCTAGAGGTATTGAAACGGAGCCATGTCCCAGAGCCCACATCCCTCCGTCATCAGAGTTCCTTGTTCAGGATCCACGAGTGCGTACCTAGGTTTGGCACGTTGTGGTGTCCTCACGTTTGGTGCCCTGTGAAGCTGGGCAGCCCTTAGAGAGGCAAAGGAGTCCCGAGAGGCCGTCCTGCCTCAGGGCTCCCAGGGAAGAGTTGCCTGTGTCCCTGGCTGGGCTTCCTTCGTGCACCCAGCTCACTTCTTCCCCTTCTCCTTCCCCTTCCCTCTCTGTAGAACTCAGATTGTCCCCATGGAAATGTCAGCCAGCTCCCCAGCACAGGGGAGACCACAGGGACTGGGGAACCAGGTGGGCCTGAGATGGGCCAGTTCTGTCACTAATTGATGAGAGACTTGGGCCAGGTGCCTTAACCCAGGAGCCTCAATTTCTTCACCTCGGAAGTAGGGTGATAATGTAACAGACCCCATGGGATTGTGAGGACTTGGTACAGGAAAGCAGCAGCATGTGCCTGGCACGGGGCAGGGCCTCTCCAGATGGCAGTTCCTGTCTGTGTCGTCTTCCCACCCTCCTGGCACATGGGAGGAACTCAGTTTCTCCCCACTGTGCATCACGCTGGGAGAGGTGTTTTTTGTGCCAATTGCCATTTTAAATCCAAATCAGCAGGGATCATGTTTGCTGTTGAACCATGTGGCATATTTATAGTGTTTTTTGTGTGTGTGATCATGGTTTTTCTTTCTAGAATTTTAAGCTCTTCATGTGTGCTGAGGAAGATCATTTGTGTTTTTTAGTAGGATTCCTTTTCCACTTTGTGCAAGTAAAGGCAAATCCCCTATTTGCATGTGACTGGATTAATTCACAGATAACACTTTCGCACTTCATTTTTATTCTTCACAAGGGTTCAAGATGTTTTCCCAATGCCCAGCATCTCATGGATGACAAATATGACAAGTAATTTTACCAGAGGCAGTTTGAGGGCTCTTAGCATAGTGCAAGTAAATTATGTTGGTTCAAGTCCAAGGAACTTTGTTCTCTTTGTGTTTGCTTTTGTAGCCTTACCTCTTTGTGGCATGAGTTAGAGACATACATGAGCATTTTAAAGTAGAGAAGCCCTTTCTCCTGGGAAGGAGAAATGGAAGAGTCCAGTTAAGAAAAGCTTGTATGATTGAGTGCAAAATCAAAATCTCACAAAGCAGCAATAATTTAGCATTATAAAGCGAGCCTGCCATCAAACATCATTATGTGGCATCTTCTGGAGAAATGGAAAATGGAAGAAATTTTCAAAAATGAGTGGGAGTATTATGTTGAAAAACATATTGAGTAATAGCTTCAGGGGCCTCGTAAATAGCATCTCTTCGGCATCTTACTGGGTGCTTTTGTCATCATGAATTTTTACTCTGAATATTTTCCCCCTTATTAAGCAGTGAAATTATTTACTTTTCTCCAATGATGGGGCAGTGCTACCAAGTAAATAAGCATCTGTACTCTCCTGTTCATTTGGTCAGGTTTTAAAACCGTGTGTAAATGACCATTGGTCTCTGCAGTACTACATATTTTCTTAAATCGTGGGACTCTTAATTTTTACACTGCCTCCGTTTTTCTTAATTTTTGTTTTCAAGACAGGGTCTCTGTCACCCAAGCTGGAGTGCAGTGTTGTGATCATGGCTCACTGCAGCCTCGACCTCCAGGGCTCAAGTGATTCTTCCACCTTAGCCTTCCAAGTAGCTGGAACACAGGTGCACACCATCACTCACAAGTGGCTAATTTTTTATTTTTTTATACAGACAGGGTCTTGCTATGTTGCCCAGGCTGATCTTGAATTCCTGGGCGCAAGCAGTCTTCCTGCCGTAGCCTCCCAAAGTACTGGGATTACAGGTGTTGAGTCACTGCACTCAGCCTGCCTCCCATTTAAATGCAATAAAGGAATTAACTTCTTAAGGGAATCAGATTGTAAATATGTTAAAAGTGGAGATTGCTTGGTATTTGCTTGTCATGTGATTAATCATCCCTTACTGTCTCCACCTTATAAAATTGCAAACCCTAATATTTGGCTGCCTTAAAGTGGGACGTGTCTGTGTCTTGCCTTATGTCTCTCCACACAAAATGAGTGTAGGGTCCTCTGCTGCGACAGTAGTGGTGCCTGCTCCAGCATGTGACTCTGCACCCTCTCTTCCCCTTACAGATTTTGGGATGACGCGAGATATCTATGAGACAGACTATTACCGGAAAGGAGGGAAAGGGCTGTTGCCCGTGCGCTGGATGTCTCCCGAGTCCCTCAAGGATGGAGTCTTCACCACTTACTCGGACGTCTGGTATGACAGCCTTTACTGCAGTGCCAGCCTGGACCCCCCAGCCTCCTCACTTCCCACCAGCTCAGTCTCCAGGGCTTTACCTTTCTCTGTTCATTGTTACCCATTTCCAGCTTTAGCTCAGTGTTGTGTGAGCCACGCTTCTTCATCATTGAGGTGTTCCTGTTGTCAGTGGGCTAGCTAAGGGCAGAAGGGCATTTGTGGGATTTTAAAGAATTTGTGGGACCAGCATTTCTTTCCATCTTCAGTGGACACCAATTATGTTTCCAGGAGCTGGGATGTGCCAGAAGCCATCATCTCTTTTTGTTTCTCCCCTGCCTGCCTTCTTTCTCTTTTCCTCTTTAATAAACAGATACTGTCTGTGTGTCTGCCTCACCTAATCTAACCCTCAGATTGCAGACAGTGCTTTATTTAGACCCAAAGCTTATGAGTCCTGATTGTGTTTTCCTGCTGGTCCCATCTGCTGTCTGTCTTTCAGTGGGCATCCACCGTTGCTGACCCAGGGATGGTTATGGGAAGCAAAACGTCTCCCTTAATTGTAAACAGTGTCTTCTAGCAGAAGCTCATCGGCCGAGGGATCAGAGGCCTCTAGGTAGTAGTGTTTATTGTGGTTCCTTGGCAACGTTGCAGAGAGGCGGTCAGGTTCTGAAATACAAATGAGGTTATTGGCAGGCTGAGGCCCTGGCACAGGCACCTTCTAGAGTGTCAGCTAGTGTCTTGGCTTTCCTCTGGGGGGGATCCCGTTGCTGTTGTGTTACAGAAATGGTAGTTGTTTACTCCAACAGTCTGGATGACCACATAGAGGAACTATTTCAATAGTGACTGACATTTTTTTTTTTAACCTCGTAAACCTTTCACAGTTCAAGGGCCTTGGATCTTATTTTGAAGACAGGTGCAAATTGGAAATAGCATTTGAATATGACCTGGCAAAGCATAATTGCTTCTTGAGCTCAAGTATGAGATCTGTTTTGCAATCAGCTTGTCCAAGATGGTTATCTCTTTACTGTCAAAGCAAAGTGCTCTGCATGGTTTTTAGAAATTGGGATGGTGAGGAGAGGGCAAGCCTGGGTACGTGCATTCATCTGTTTATTCTAGGCTTTGTGCCTCCAAGAGCTTGGAGGTCAGCTTTGTAGTATAATAAAATAGAAAACTATACAGCCAGGGAGAACAGAAGCAGGATAGAACAATAAAGTGTTGTTAATATCTCTCAGGCAAATTTTACCCAAATTCTGACTAGCAGTTATTGCTACAAGCAGCAACAAAGGGACATAGGGTGTGTTCAATGCCAGTTTCTGTCCATTTGACTACATAACTACTATGAACCAATATGAAAAGATACGTATAAACATGAATAGGCGTTTGGTATTCATTCCATGAAATGTTCAGGCATTGACTGTGCTTCAGGTTTTGTTTGGTTTTTAACACAGGCTTTGAGAATAGCACAGGTCAGGAAGGCTAGGGCATTGGAGTAGGTTTCTCAGCTGTCCAGGCTCTGAACTAAAGCTGTCCCTCTCAAAAGAATGGAAATGATTTTAGATTGTATTCAACAGCACAAAGCAATGATTCCTAAATAGTTAAAAATCTAGAAAGAAACACAAATTTATTTGACTTTGTGGAAGAGACCCCAGAATTTTAGGATTTGGGATATATCCCTGGAGTCAGGCACAGTCCCCAACGCACCCACAGCATCTTTGACAGCTGGTGGTTGAGCTTTTGCTAAGAGGTTTCTAGGGACTCCATGTTCACTTCCTCACAGAGGTAGGCCAGCCTCATGCTTTAGACATCCTTGTTCTAGGCAAGTCCCTCGTGTTCTGCTGCGTCAGGCTCTGTGTGACACCCATTGGACCTTCTCTCTGTAGCACAATTGCATACCTTGCTCTGTTCTTGATAAGATAGGTCTAGGAATCATCTAAGGAGGTGTGTCTGTTCTAGGCAGAAAACCTCCAGGTTTCCTGCTGTCTTCCAAGACTTCATTCCCAGGCCCTTGGGCGCTGTAGCTGCTCTCCCCGCAGCTCCCTGTAGCACCTGTCCCTCTGAAATGACAAGGGTGCCCTCTAGGCATGGAGCAGACCAGGCAAAGGACTGGGGAACCGCACCCCACAGCCTAGAGCTGCGTCTTCTTCCTGAGCATCTGGATCACCCAACACATAATCTTTATTTTTTATTAAGAAGCTTTCTAAATAGTCACAAATAGCCAAGGTTATTTCCTTCTTTCATGGCGAATTACCATCTGTGGGGAATGTGGATTTCTCTGTAGGTTTTAATTTGCTGGTGAGTGGGCCATTGCTACCATCACCTCCTGGTGTGGGGAAGTGTAGTTACTGAATGCTGCCTCCATCCAGCACGGGCATTGCGGGGGGACTCACAGCCGCAGGTCTGCTCCCTGGGGAAACAACCTCAAGATTCCTAATTAGAAAGGGCTTTACACAGAAACATTTATCTAACGTTTGAAGATTAAACCTGTCCATGAAATGGAAGACTTGATTTTATATGAAGTCATGAATAGCCAACACCACATAGGAAAATACCGGCTTTGAAAACCACAGAAGTGTTGCATATTTCTCAGTGCTTCTGACTGGCTGTGTGGCTGTGTTAAACCTCAGCTTCCCTGGCCTTCGGTTGCTCCATCTGTAAGGTAAGGTCTGTCTAGAGAAGTCTGTGGTACCTGAATAGAGGTTTAAATGGCTGCTGTGGCAACTGGTATTGGGTAGAGATGGTTCAATCTCCACACTTTGCAGTTGTCACATTAAGCTGTGAAGGACGACAGACTCCAGCACTTGGTGGCCCTCGGTGACAGGTGATGCTGACCTCAGACAAGAGTTGCTCAGGAGATAGGCTTTGCAGTTCAACTTGACAAGCATTTGTGGAGAGCTGGGTCTACTACCTCCTGTATTGTTGCCTATGTGTGATGATAAGGCTCTTGGGGGTGTGGAAGATGCAGGGATGATGATGATGATGATGTCATTGTTGTCCTGGTCCTTGAAGGATAAAGTCTTGTGGAGAAGAGGAAGCAATTCTGACAGTTTGGGGTTGCAGAAGCCTTCACAGAAGAGATGAAGTTGTGTAGGCACCCTAAGTATGGATTGTCACAAAAGGAGCACAAGAAGCGGGGCAGGGCGGGATGGGGGAGTTCCTGGCAGTGAGAATACTGGGCAGGCATGGCAGTAGGGAGCGCCTGCTGCAGGTGGGGTTGGTGGGGTTTCCTTGGGGGACTTAGGCTGCAGAGAGATCAAGCCAGGCCTCAGCTGTTGTGTTAGGGATTCTGGACTAATTCTTTAAGCCCTGTTAAGGTTTCTGAACCGGAGGGTGATTAGAGCTGTGCTTGAAGTTGTTCTTGTTAGCCGGAGTATACGGCTGCGTTGAGCAAGACGCTGTAACCAAAGAAGAGAGGGGTGTGGTGGGCCAGGCAAGGAGGATCCTGCACACTGAGGGAGCTCTAGGGGACAGAAGGAGGGTGCCAGACCTTGGACAGATGTGAGCCTGAGTGGACAGGTCGCAGTGGGACTCCGAGGATGCCGAGGGCATGGGTGACAGCAGGCAGACTGCTCAGGTGGAATAGGCATCAGCTGCAGGGAAGCCGGGGAAGAACAGGGCACGAATCAGAGTTCAGTGTGAGATGCACTGAGTTTGTGGGTAGCCCAGTAACCGGGAACTTGGAATGGAGCAGTTGGGCCGTGAGGGCCAAGGTGGGAGCCATGCCGTGAGAATTGGCTGCCTGCAAGCCAGTGACACAGCCAGGAAAGGCACGTGGGGCAAGAGGAGAAGTGGGCCTGGGAGGGAGCCACATCCTCAGGCCATTTCCCAGACCAGCCTGCAGTCAGCAAAAGCAGAGAGCTAGTCATTTCTTCTTTTTTATTTTATTTTTAATTTTTTGTTGTTGGAGAGCTAGTCATTTCTTGTACCAAGCTGCATTTCAGATGTGTGGGTCCTACTGCCGCTGGCATCTGAGGCATGCTGCCCGTATGGCTGGGCTGGTTGCAGAAGGCAGAGCTTCCTGCAAAAGCTGAGGGAGAGCCCCTTCTCCCCTGGGCCCAGGCCTCTCTAAGCTGCTCTTTGGCCTCTGGGTCTCTTGTACAACCTGAAGATGACAGCATTTCTTGGTCACTTGCAGTTAAAAAGGACCTTGGGTTGGTCTGTCCTCTGATTGCTAAGATTCTATTTCTGTCTAGCATCTACTTTTAGTATCAATTTGTACAAAAAATTTTGATTCACCGAAAGTAGCTGAAGCAGTGAATAAAACATTCTCATACAGTCAGGGGCCCTGTGGACTTGGGCACAAGGTCAAGGTCCCAAGAACTCTTGGTGGAAAATCTCCTGCCCCAGGTTCTTCCATGAGGGTTAACCAGCACCTGTAGCCCAGGACAGGTCCAGCTAGAGTCCCTGCCCCTACTTGCTGATGAGTAGCCTACTTTACTCCGCCAAAGGGAACCACGTGGAAAGGCACACAGGCCAGGGAGAATTTGTGAATTATGGAGATTTGCCCTAGGAGGGCACATTTGTTTTGCAGATTCCAGCATTGTCTTTTTTAACATTCTGTCTGAAATTTGTGTACGTGTACTATCTGTTTTAATTTGTTTTCCAGTAGTTTGATCTTCTAAACTGACAAAGCTGCATGCATGGCAGAATTGCTCACTACAAAGTTATTCCTCAGCCAGCTTCTCTGCTTAAGGATTCTTTCTCCATGATACCCCCTACCAGCCAGTGCAGCGCACCCTGGTCCCCCCACCTATGACACAGGCCCTCCAGGCCAGCAGCTCCGCAGCTCTGTTGGAGGTGGGGGAGCAGCAGGAATTCTCTTCTCCCTTGGCCCAGCTGGACCTCAAGATCCCTATAGATCTTTTAAACATTCCAGGACCCAGGCCCTCACCCGAGACCAATCAAATCAGAGTTTCTATTGGGTGTCCAGACCTCTGTTGAAAACCTCCCCAGGAGATTCTCCTGTGCAGCCAGCAGTGAGAACCACTTGGGTAGAGGTTTCCAAAATTGCCTGATTATAAAAATCACTTGAGGAGCTTGGTAAAGCTTGACTGTCCCAGGCCTCATTCGAGGCTACCAAGTCAATGTCCATGCTGGGGCTTGGACAACAATGTCATTCATTTTGGGTTAAAGCCAGTTTGGGAGGTACTGCCTTGCCAGGTAAATGGCTGGGACTAGGTAGATGACAAACCCAGTATACTCTGCGTTCAAAGCACAGATCAGGGGCTTCCTGACCATGCAAGGGATGCTGAAAGTGCCCTCACCATCACCTTCATTAGCTCTACCACCAGGGCTGAATTTAGTCTATGGGGAACATTAGCAGCAACAAAGGGAGGATGATGTCCTACACTTAGCCCAGGGCCTGGCTCGCTGTCTGACAATCACTGTCACCATAGTAAGGACAGTTTCTCTGCTCAGGATGTAAGAAGTGCTGGAAAGTAAGGGGCAGCATGGTTCAGTCCATCCCTTTCCAAGCTCCTCACAGTTTTTTTCTCCCTGCAGGTCCTTCGGGGTTGTCCTCTGGGAGATCGCCACACTGGCCGAGCAGCCCTACCAGGGCTTGTCCAACGAGCAAGTCCTTCGCTTCGTCATGGAGGGCGGCCTTCTGGACAAGCCAGACAACTGCCCCGACATGCTGTACGTACTTCCTGGGCCCCCTCAGTGCTCTTCTGATTTCTCTTCTCAAATGCCTGTTTTCCTGGGTCACAGGAGATTAGATTAAAGCCATTCTCTCTGGTCCTTCGCCTCTCTGGCCAGGTGCGGCTGAGGAACGGTTCGTCCTCATGGAAGGAGCTGAGTTTGGTTGGTAGACCTGTGCCTTTCCATGGGCACCTTAATTCTACCCTATATTCCTTAATGCTTTCGTTCTGATTTGCAGTTCGCACTATAGTGTCTCAGGCCAAATGTCTCTGAAATGTTTGGCCAGAGTAATCCATCCTTATTCATCCTCTCCATGTGAGGTTTTGTTTCTTTTTAAAGAAGGCAACAACACAACACTTACTACTCTGAAGTCAAATTCAAGAGCCCCCCGCCCCACCTCTGGCAGGCCTGAGAGAACTGCTGCAGTGAGTGTACACAGAGCTGCATGGTCAGGGCTCCAGCATGCGCCATGTAGGGTCAGCTTAGTGTCTTCTGAACCCTGCCCCACATGTCTTCTCTGTTAAGTGTTCACAAAAGTCATAAACCATCCAAGTAACATGCTCTCCAGAGCTTCATCCACTGACCAGTGTGGACCTGGAGTGTGTGTGAACTGACATCCCTGCGAAGCGCTGGTGAACTTGTCTTCTCATTGCACTTTTTTTTTTTTTTTTTTTTTTTTGAGATGGAGTCTCGCTCTGTCGCCCAGGCTGGAGTGCATTGGCGTGATCTTGGCTCACTGCAACCTCTGCCTCCCGGGTTCAAACAATTCTCCTGCCTCAACCTCTCAAATAGCTAGGGTTACAGGCACCCACCACCACGCCCAGCTAATTTTAGTGGAGATGGGGTTTCACCATGTTGGCCAGGCTGGTCTTGAACTCCTGACCTCAGATGATCTGCCTGCCTCAGCCTTCCAAAGTGCTGGGATTATAGGCATGAGCCATCGCACCTGGCAACCCCACTTATTTTGAAAAAACACTTTGCAGCTTTTAGTCCTAAGTTTTGTCAGATGACGAGAGAGTTTGTGATGCCTCACGGTGATGGTGAGGCCTCACTACTCAGCACTCCCTGGAGAAGCCCCACTTTTGGTGGAGGACTTACTCTGTGTCCATGGATGGTGCTGTTGGTGGCTCAGTGGAGGTCAGAGCTGCTGGAGCAGGGAGGCCTCTTTGTCTTTCCTGGAACGAGTTTGAGGAGGGGGTGAAGGTGTTCTGGTTCAGTCGTCAGGTGCACAACAGGTACAGGTTGGGAACAATGACTTTGCTTTTGACATGCACTTTAAGGCAGGCTTCAGAGATTGTTCTGGATCTCCATAGGTGAACATAAAGGTAGGCTCCCACTAGTATCTCAAGACCAATTCAGGAGATTTCCAGAAATGCTTTTCAGGACAGGCCTGGCTTCACTTTGGAAAGGATCCTGAGGAATTACTGGGCTGTCATGTCTGCATGAAGGCACCCAGCTCCTACCTCTCACCCATCCACCCACCTGGAGCCAGCACAGACTCAGGCTGGGTCCACAGTGGTGGGATGATAAACACAAACCAGACGTGTGTCAGGTGGACAGGAGGGAATGCAGGCTCCAGCAGCCACAAAAGCTTTGCTCATTTGGTCCCGTACAGTGTGGGCCAGGAATCCAGATGCAGGTGTTCTTGTCCTCCTGCAGAGTAGCAGGAGGCAGAAATCAAGATGTCAGTGGGGCTGCGGTCTCACCTGAGGCTCAGGGCCATCTTAAGGCACCTCAGGGTTCTGCAGTTGCAGGACTGAGGTCCCCATATTCTTGGCACCTGTCACCTGGGTACTGCTTTCAACTTCTGGAGGCCAAGGCCACTCACAGTCCTTGCCATATACACCCTCCGTAGGCCTGCTCATAACAGCAGTCTATTTTTTCAAGACTGATAAGAGGATCACTCTCTACTGCTTCTGCTGGTTTTTTACCTGATGAGGTCAGATCTACCCGAGATAATCTCTCCCTTTTAAGTGATTCAGTCAACTGATTAGAAGCCTAATTAGAGGAGTGAAGTATCCTCTCATGTTGACAAGTCCCACCCATACTCAAGTGAGGGGATTATATGGGATATTTACACCAGGGGCAGCAATCTTGGGGGGCATCTTAGAATTCCATAGTCTCAGAAATCATTGTCCTTATCAAACAATCAAGGTGCTATTTTTGTTTCATAGCACTTTGAGTGTTGCTACAAATACTGAATCCCTAAGCTCCTTGTAAATGGCCTGCCTCTGGAGGGCATGGGGTGGGGAAGACTAGACACACACCCCTGTGCTTTGGGAGTATGTTGGCTGGGCGTCATGCTCAATTAGCTGCTGCTTCTGAACATAGGTTCAGCTAAAGTGTATCCCAGGCAATGGACACTTTGTGTAGAATTCAGAAAGGTGGCTGCAGGAAGAATGCCAGGGAAAGCCAGAGTGAAGGCATCACCCTCGCACAGCTAGCACACGTCGGGGTCCCCATTGTCCTATCGAGGCAGGGCCAGAACCGGAGAGTTGGCTGGTGCCCTGGGCCTGTGCCAGTGATGGGAGGCTCCTCTTCTCTGAGGGTGGCACCTACAGATGCAGAAGCACTGGGTTTCCTGGAGCCCTCATCAAGCAAACTTGCTAGCATGGCCTCTTCAGAACTCCACAATCCAAACTTGGAAGAGACTCGAAAGACCACTTAGTACCTTTTCTTACCCAGTATAGAAATTCTTCTTCTCTCTGTGTTAGTTTTTTATCGCAGTATAACGAACTACCCAAAACCTACTAGTTGAGAGCAACAGTAAACATGTATTATCACTCAGAGGTTTCTGAAGGTGAGGAATGCAGGAGCGGCATAGCCGGCTGGCTCTGGCTTGGAGCCCTTCTCACGGTTGCAGCCCAGCTGTCCGCTGGGGCTGCAGTCATCTGACAGCTTGCCTGGGGCAGGCAGACCCACTTGCAAGGTGTTGCTGCATAGGTAGTATGCCCTGCATGAACCACCCTGTTCTACATGGGCCTCTCTGGAGCACTGCCTAAGTGTCTCAGGATGTATAGCTAGCTTCTCTTAGAGCAGAGTTTGGCACACTCTAAAAGGCTGGCTAAAAAATATTTTTGATGGGAGGCTGAGGCAGGAGAAGGGCGTAAACCCGGGAGGCGGAGCTTGCAGTGAGCTGAGATCCGGCCACTGCGCTCCAGCCTGGGCGACAGAGCGAGACTCCGTCTCAAAAAAAAAATATTTTTGACTGTGTGGGCCCATACGACCTCAACTGTGACTACTTGACTCTGCCATTGTGGAGCAAACACAGCTGGAGGTGTCATATAAGCTAGTGTGGCTGTGTTCCAATACAATTTTATTTTTGCATACTGAAATTTGAATTCCACATAATCTCTTGTGTTGTCACAAAATATTCTTATTTTGAATTTCTTTTAGCCATTTACATTAAAACCATTCTTAGGCCATAGACCTTGGAAAACTAGGCAACAGGGCAGATTTTACCCACAGGTACATAGTTTGCCTGCTGTGCCCTAGAGTAAAAGATCCAGGACCTGAGCAGAAGGCACAACGTCCTTTCTGACCAGACTTCAGAAGTCACACTCTGAAGCTCCCACCTTCTCCTTCAGGTTACACCATGTGGGAGTCAATCACATGGGGATGTGAGCTCCAGGACACGAGGGAGAGGACCACTGGGGCGCACACACACACACACACACACACACACACACACCCAGTGCCCCTCACAGGTGACCATCCGCTCCACACTTTGAGTAGTACAGCCACTGTTTTCTTGTCAGCCATTATAAGAAAAATCATGCTTTCGAGTCTGAATATAAGCCATGGAGTATGAGAGCTGACGACCACTGAATTTGCATAAAGGTACAGTGCCAGAATCTAGGCTAATATTAGAACTGGTGGTATTTTAGCAAGCTTAGAAACAGCCCATGAAAGCAGGTGTGAGTTTTGCTTCTGTGGTTTGGGGTGGGTGAGGGAGAGTGTGTTGTTTTTGTGCTTTCTCTTTGACTCGGGTAAACGTTTTATCTACAAGAGACTTGTGGGATTCTTACTTGGTCCACCTCCAGGTAACTGGGGTCTTAATATTAACGTAAGCTGCCTGGGATGCAGCCTACCTGCCATGGGAAACGCAGGGCACTTCCTGTTCCCAGCATAGAGTGACAAGGAAATTTACTCAAAGCGGTTACTCTGACGTTAAATGTTTACTTCAGGAGGCATTTCTGCTTTGCCATCGAGAATTTTTCTCCCTTCCAAGAAAAAAGTAGAATGAAAGGAGGCAATTTGGTTTCATAGGGAGTGTCCATGTTGTCATTCTGAGTTTACTGATGAGCTTACGTGAGAAAGGAGGGTTCTGGGATGGGAGTTCTGTTGTTACAAGACATGAAAGAATGGCCTCTGTTTATCCCAGAGAGGAGAGTCCGTGAGCCCTTGCGAGTTGCCGTGAAACCTCTGCCAGGTCCCAGTTGAGAAAGTGTGTGAGTTGTGTGGTTCTGAGATCTGAACAGGCACTACCTGGTGACATTGGGGGGCTGAAGGAGCTCAGTGGCTGCAGGTGAACTGGAGCTCACCATCAGGAAGTAGCCAGATTCTCACCCCTCAGTGTCACCGAGTGTTCTGGCTTTAGAGGAAGGACTCCATGGTCCCCAAGCAACGGGGTGTTGAGGTCTGAGTCTCAACGCCATGACTCAGTGTGAATTGACTCAGCAAGTACCACGGCATCAGATTTGGGTTGTGGTTCCCTGTTGGGTCTGTACTTTAGATTGATGACAAAGCCCATCCTCAGCCTTATTTCAGCCCAGATCTCAGTATTTATGCCACAGATGTTGTTAAGCCCCTCTGGGTGCATGCTGACGCTGAGGTCACACAGATGAGCCAGGAGTGGCCCTGGCTTTCATGAAACGTAGTGACGTAAAAGGTCCCAGCTCTGATGCTCCGGGATAAGGGCCAGGACAGAGGTGTGAACGCAGCCGTGGAAAACTTGGGCTAGGAAGCCATTTGTTCTGCTGGTAACACTTCCACAGCTCCACGTGTCCGGACTCTTGCCAGAGATGTCTTCGGTCTGCAGGATTCAGGAGGGAATCTGAACTTTTAGCCTGGAGCATTATCAACTAATAGATGAGTCTGAAACAAACTTAGTGAAATCTGATGGTTTTTTTGTATTTTTTCCCATTGCTGGAATCCCGGTTTGGTTCTGCGGGAATCAAGTGCTTGAGTGGGATCCAAACAGGCAGGAAGGGCGCTCCTGCTCAGTTATTCCCAGTGAGCTCACGGAGGCACACAGGCCCCATGTCCTCCTGGCTGAGGCGTGGTTCCTAAGACAACCCTCACTGTTGAGGACTGCCAGCAGAGAGACACATTCAGCCCTGCAGGTCCTCTGGGAATCCGGTGAGCGTCGGCAGCATGCGGGAATGTGCGGGTGCCTCGTGGCCTGCTGACATCCCACACAGGTCACAGCCTGTCCAGTTCAGGACATCAGGGCCAAGAGTGGAATGGGAATACAGAGGCACCTCCGTGTGCTCATCCTGCTGACCATCACCCAGCCTCCAGGGCGCACAGCTGGCCCCCAGGAGGCTGCTTCCCAGCAGGGCAGGAATTCCATTTGAGTCTTGTCCCTGTTCCAGAAGGGCCGGGTATGTGTCCCCCAAAGGGGAGAGCATTCGAGAAGGATGGCTCCAGACTTGCCAGAGCTGACCCATGGGGAAAAAAAAAAAAAAGGTGCTTTTTAAAAGATGAGTTTTATCAGCTCACACATCCTTCTAGAGTCTAATGGAGATTTTTTGTATGTGTGGAAATAGTAAACAAGGTCTTGAATCCCACAGAGCAAAAAAGACTTCCTTTTTTGGGCAGCCCTGGAAGGGTTGTTACTCTGGAATGGTTTAAAAGAGGCATCACATGGCTTGTTTGTGCTGATGTCACTGCCTCGCTGCCCCTCCAGTGGCACCTCCTCAGTCCCCGGCCACAGGGCACAAAGCCAAGCACATCTCATGCTTTTGGCCCGGGTACACTTCTGCCCAGGGGCAAGTCAGCTGGAGAGGAGTTCACATCCCAGCCATATGGAGATGCATTTCATGTCATTATGGCCTATTTTAATTCTTTTTAACCCCGATCGTTTTTCTTAGGCAGTGATGGGGAGTATGGAAAGGCAGGCTTATTTGTCATCAAGCTGCCAGTTTTTATCACTGCAAAGCACATCCCTGTGACATCTGTGACTGTCCCTTGGACAGTTAGGCGAGGGAGGGTCTCCTGGTGGGCCCAGGGTTACTCTTACTTAGATTAAGAGAAAATTCCTTTTTCCGGGGTCGTTGGCAATCAAAGTGTAGTCATCCTGTTGCACAGAGAACTCCATCCCAGCTCCACCCTTATGAATTTCGTAACCTTGGACAAATTATTTAATGTCTGAGTGCTTCTGTTCCCCCGTCTGTAACATGGGTGTATATTATAGTCAGTAGCACCTGCTTCACAAACTCGTGAGGACTTCATCAGTTCACACACATAACTGCCTCACTGCCTGGCACCTAGTGTGCACACGGCATTCTGCTGTGGGGTAGACTTAAAATGGTGGCTAAAGAGATGCTTTTCCGGAAAAGTGGCCACATGGAACTCTCCATATCTAAGAAGCATACTGTGGGGTGCTTCATATTTTGTCTAATTCCTTTACCCCCAGAACAGGAACCCGCAACCTTCCTTCTGTAAAGGGCCATATGGTAAATAAGCATTTTTAGACTTGCAGGCCACGGTCTCTGTCCTAATGTCCTCAGCTGGTAGTTGTAGCTGGAAAGCAGCTGCAGCCCACATGGAAATGAGGGAGCATGGCCCATGCCAGTGCAGCTGATGTGCAGAGGTGGGTAGCCCCGGGTTAGACCCTGTGGAGATGCAGGCCCCCAGGCTCCAGAACGCTGAATTCTAGTGGATTCTGGATGGCTCTCCCTCACACCTAGGCCCACCCTCCCTGAAGGTTGCACCGTCTCCATCTGAAGGAAGCTGCCAGGTGGCCATTAGAGCCCTTCTCTTGGCAGGCCAGCTTCCAGGCCTAGTGGCTTATCTTACATCAGGGGCCTCCCCTTGGAATTTTCCCTGAAAGCCAGAGATGGGCAGGTGGTCTGTGGTTAAGCAGCCGGCCTGACAGGAGGCTAGATGCCATTGGGTGCTTTGAGTTTCCTAGATGTGGAGAGTTCTATATGGCCACTTTTATGGAAAAGCATCTCTTTTAGGAAGAATTTTAAAACAAAGAGGAGAGCTTCCTGGTGAGAACAGAGGTGGAAAGGAAGGCACTTTGGTTTCACGCTCACGTAAGAGGGCTGTTGGCGGTCACTCCTCAGAACTATGGCCAGCCCTGGACGGTAGCCAGCTGTACCTTTTTGCCCCAAAAGTCTGTTTACCTGGGTCTTTCTGCGTTCTGGAAGCTTGTCAAAGCCCGGGCCTTTCCTGGGTCAGGGCAGCCGGCTTTCCTTGTCCGCGTGTGGCTGACTGTTTTCGTGGGGGGCCCTGGCCACAGCTGGCAAGACTTCCTTTGTCCCATGCGACTCTGAGGGCCTCACAGATATTTGCAGCCCAGGTGCTGTCGGAGCCCAGCCAATGCGACCAAGACACAGCACAAGGGTCATCCTGTTCTGCCTGTCCTTGCTTGTGGAGTGGACTCATGCCCAGGGCTCTCCTTGCTGGCTCATTGGAATCTGGCTTCGGTTCTACACTGGGCCTCTTGTTTGGTCCAGAACAGCCTGGCTCATCGGCTGGGGCTTGCCTGTGCAGGGCTGGAGCAAGCAGGTGCTAGATGGAGACAGCAGCAGACTCGGAGTGTGTATTTCTTCGTGTTGCAAGCCTGGCCTCATGGTGCCTTCTTCCTTTGGTCCTCTGCCAGGGGTAGCCCTGCACCAGGAGGAAGCTTAGAAATAACAGGTGGGACCTGGAGAGAGAGCGTTGGGGAAGCTGCGGTCACTCATCAGCCTTCTTAGAAACCGGGGGTTTCCTGCTTTCTAATTCTGGAAAGGATGTTTCAGCAGTGGCTGCACGAGATGTCTCAGATAGAAAACTGCTTATTTTTATTTCTTAGCACTGACACCATAAACAATACCTGTAACGATGGACAGTGCGGACCTAGATTAGTGCTTCTTGGGAAAGGAGAGTTTGGGTTTTGTACTGTGGTAGTGCTGAGTGAAGTGAACGGAACCATACGAGGTAAAACAGGAGACTCTGAAGGCCACTTGGGCCATCCAGGCAGAAAGCCAGGGACGGAGAGGGACAGTAGGGTTGTATTCAGTGCTCCCACCATACGCTTATAGGTGGGAAACCACTGCAGGCGGCCCATGAAGCCTCTTGGCCACATACGCCCTCCCAGTTTGGACCCCCCTTCCATGTGTCTTGGCTGCAGGTTTGAATTGATGCGCATGTGCTGGCAGTACAACCCCAAGATGAGGCCTTCCTTCCTGGAGATCATCAGCAGCATCAAAGACGAGATGGAGCCTGGCTTCCGGGAGGTCTCCTTCTACTACAGTGAGGAGAACAAGCTGCCCGAGCCGGAGGAGCTGGACCTGGAGCCAGAGAACATGGAGAGCGTCCCCCTGGACCCCTCGGCCTCCTCGTCCTCCCTGCCACTGCCCGACAGACACTCAGGACACAAGGCCGAGAACGGCCCCGGCCCTGGAGTGCTGGTGCTCCGCGCCAGCTTCGATGAGAGACAGCCTTACGCACACATGAACGGTGGCCGCAAGAACGAGCGGGCCTTGCCGCTGCCCCAGTCTTCGACCTGCTGATCCTTGGATCCTGAATCTGTGCAAACAGTAACGTGTTTGTTCAGCGGGGTGGGGGGAGAGAGAAAGTTTTAACAATCTATTCACAAGCCTCCTGTACCTCAGTGGATCTTCAGAACTGCCATTGCTGCCCGCGGGAGACAGCTTCTCTGCAGTAAACACATTTGGGATGTTCCTTTTTTCAATATGCAAGCAGCTTTTTATTCCCTACCCAAACCCTTAACTGACATGGGCCTTTAAGAACCTTAATGACAACACTTAATAGCAACAGAGCACTTGAGAACCAGTCTCCTTACTCTGTCCCTGTCCTTCCTCATCCTCTCTCTCTCTCCCTCCCTTTCTCTCTCTCTCACTTTTCTCTTTCTCTCTGCTTCATAATGGAAAAATAATTGCCGTAAGTCCAGCTGGGAAGCCCTTTTTTATCAGTTTGAGGAAGTGGCTGTCCCTGTGGCCCCATCCAACCCCTGTACACACCCACCCGACACCGTAGGTCATTACAAAAACAACACGTGGAGATGGAAATTTTTACCTTTATCTTTCACCTTTCTAGGGACATGAAATTTACAAAGGGCCATTGTTCATCCAAGGCTGTTACCATTTTAACGCTGCCTAATTTTGCCAAAATCCTGAACTTTCTCCCTCACCGTCCTTGCGCTGATTCCTTGTGTCCGGAGGCATGGGTGAGCGTGGCATCTGGTTGCTCCGTTTTGAGAGACACGCTGGCGACACGCTCCGTCCGTCTGACTGCCCCTGCTGTGCTTCTCAAGGCCACGTGCACACAGGTCTCATTGCTTCTGACTAGGTTATTATTTGGGGGAACTGGACACAATGGGACTCTCTCTCAGTGAAGGTGGGGAGAAGCTAAACTGGCTTTCCTGCCCTGCCTCCCCACCCCCGCCCAACCCCCAAGAATCTGGTGGCCATAGGCCCTGAAGCAGCCTGGTGGACAGGCTTTGAGTCAAGGGGCCCCATGCCTGCTTCTCTCCCAGCCCCAGCTCCCCCGCCCACCCCCAAGGACACAGATGGGAAGGGGTTTCCAGGGACTCAGCCCAACTGTTGATGCAGGTTTGCAAGGAAAGAAATTCAAACACCACAACAGCAGTAAGAAGAAAAGCAGTCAATGGATTCAAGCATTCTAAGCTTTGTTGACATTTCTCTGTTCCTAGGACTTCTTCATGGGTCTTACAGTTCTATGTTAGACCATGAAACATTTGCATACACATCGTCTTTAATGTCACTTTTATAACTTTTTTACGGTTCAGATATTCATCTATACGTCTGTACAGAAAAAAAAAAGCTGCTATTTTTTTTGTTCTTGATCTTTGTGGATTTAATCTATGAAAACCTTCAGGTCCACCCTCTCCCCTTTCTGCTCACTCCAAGAAACTTCTTATGCTTTGTACTAGAGTGCGTGACTTTCTTCCTCTTTTCCCGGTAATTGATACTTCTACGACATAATTTGCCATGAACTGTTTGATGCCTTTTTATAAATACATCCCCCCTCCCTGCTCCCACCTCCCCCTTTAGTTGTCTTCTAACCCGTAGGCTCTGTGGGCACGAGGCTGGTGAGGGCACGAGGCGGAAAGAAGGCTGGGCACCCGTCCTGAGAGGGCCGTGCTCCTCTCCCCAGCCCGCCCTCACAGCATTGGAGTCTGTTACAGTGCAAGACATGATACAAACTCAGGTCAGAAAAACAAAGGTTAAATACTTCACACGTCTTTGTTCAGTGTTTCCACTCCACCGTGGTTGAGAAGCCTCACCCTCTCTTTCCCTTGCCTTTGTTTAGGTTGTGACACACATATATATATTTTTTTAATTCTTGGGTACAACAGCAGTGTTAACTGCAGACACTAGGCATTTGGATTACTATTTTTTTTTAATGGCTATTTAATCTTTCCATCCCATGAAAAACAGCTGTTGAGTCCAAGGGAGCAGCAGAGCGTGGTCCGGCAGGCCCTGCTGTGGCCCTCGCCAGCACCCTCACCAGACCGACCGACCTGTCTTTGGAACCAGAACATCCCAAGGGACCTCCTTTGCACTGGCAGGGAGTGGGACCCTGGGATCCAGGCTGGCCCAGGGCGGCATCCTCAGGGCTGTGCCAGCTGGAGCGCCAGGTCGGGGCAGCGCAGACGCCACGGTGGCCCAAGAGCCCCTTTGCTCCCTGCCAGGGGACCGGGGCTGTGGTGCTGGCCCTCTTTCCCTCGGCCAGGAATCCAGGTCCTCGGGGCCCAGGGGTCTTGTTTAGTTTTGTTTTGTTTTTAGCACTTCTCACCAGAGAGATGACGGCACAAGAGTTGCTTCTGGGATGGAAATGTTTAGGAGTAAGAACAAAACTGGGATATGGTGATTGCTAGTTGTGACTGAAGATTAAACACAAAAAAAAGTCTGTAGTGCTTTTTTTGCTTGTCAGCAGTTTGTCTCACTGCTTTCTCTAGCCTCTATCCCATAGTGTGTTCCCTTTTAAAAAAGAAAAAAGAAGGTATTATATGTAGGAGTTTTCTTTTAATTTATTTTGTGATGCCAGTTTCAATCACTGTAGAGAAGCCCCATTATGAATTTAAATTTCAAGGAAAGGGTGTGTGTATGTGTGTGGGGTGTGTGTGTGTATGAGTGATGGGACAGTTTTTGATTTTTTGGGTTTTTTTCCCCCCAAACATTTATCTACCTCACTCTTATTTTTTATATGTGTATATAGACAAAAGAATACATCTCACATTTCTCAGCACCTGACAATAGGCCGTTGATACTGGTAACCTCATCCACGCCACAGGCTCCACACCCAGGTGATGCAGGGAGAAGCCAGGCTGTATTCCGGGGTCAAAGCAACACTGACTCACCTCTCTGCGTATTTCAGACAGCTTGCCTTTTTCTGAGATGTCTCGTTTTGTGTTGCTTTTATTTTTATTATTATTTTTTTTCTATCTTGGTTTCCACCAAGGTGTTACATTTTTCCTCCTCTCCTAGCCAGTGGCCTTGTGAGGCCAAGGAGGGCACCAGAGCACACTTTCGGGGGGCCACCAGGCTGTCCCTGGCTGGTTGTCTTTGGAACAAACTGCTTCCATGCAGATTGAACACATTTCATCCTTAAGAGAGCAATTGTTCCTCAGGTTCTGAGGACAGGAAGGTGTCCAGGCAGCATAGTCTCTGTGAGAATCTCCTGGGTAAAGGCATATTGGGTTTGCTCCCCTTGCTGCTGCTCCTGCATCCCTGGAGGAGGCTTGCACCGAGGCAGGGCCATGCGGCCATGGCTGCTGCATTCATTCAGCACAAAGGTGCAGGTGCAGCAGCAGCTGGAGAGTAAGATCTGCCCAGCCTGTGCTCCAGAATGCAGAGGCTCCTAACCTCACAGCCAGTCCCTAATAGAACACACACAGGAGCAGAGTCTCCTCCCCCTCCAGGCTGCCCTCTCAACTTCTCCCTCACCTCCTCCTCCCCTAGGGGTAGACAGAGATGTACCAAACCTTCGGGCTGGAAAGGCCAGTGGTCGGCGCCGAGCCTCCGTGGTGTCTCACCCCCCGCCAGGGCTGAACCTCCGTCTGTCCCTGGTCCTGCTGCTCACAGGACAGACGGCTCGCTCCCCTCTTCCAGCAGCTGCTCTTACAGGCACTGATGATTTAGCTGGGAAATGTGGCGGGCAGCTTTCCCCAAGTGTGGATGGTTCCTTTGCAATTCCAGTACTAAGTGAATGCGCTCAGGAGCCTTTTTCCTCCTGCCAGAACAGGACCCATCTCTCCCAAGACCCCGGGGATCTTAAGGTCATTGAGAAATACTGTTTGATCAGGGTTTTCTTCTTCCACACTGTAGGTGACCCCTTGGAATAATGGCCTCTCCTCTCTTTTGCACATACCTACCGGTTTCCACAACTGGATTTCTACAGATCGATCAGCTGGTTATAAGGGTTTTGTTTAAACTGTCCAAGTTATTGATGTCATTTTGTTTTTGTCTTATGTAGGTGGCTTTTCTTTAAGTAGAAAACACTAGCAGTGTAGTGCCCATCATAACAAATGCTTCAGAAACACTTCAATAAAAGAGAAAACTTGGCTTGTGTGATGGTGCAGTCATTTTACTGGACCAACCCACCCACCTTGACTATACCAAGGCATCATCTATCCACAGTTCTAGCCTAACTTCACGCTGATTTCTCCGCCTCTTGATTTTCCTCTTTTGTGTCCAAATAATCTTAAGCTGAGTTGTGGCATTTTCCATGCAACCTCCTCCTGCCAGCAGCTCACACTGCTTGAAGTCACATGAACCACTGAGGCACATCATGGAATTGATGTGAGCATTAAGACATTCTCCCACACAGCCCTTCCCTGAGGCAGCAGGAGCTGGTGTGTACTGGAGACATTGTTGAACTTGAGCTGTGTGAGACCCAGACCACCCCAGGTCTCCTTCGTTTGACATACCGTTGGATGTCATGACGTTTGACATACCGTTGGAACGAGCCGCCTCCTCAGAAGATGGAAGACCATGTTCGTGGCCGACCGGGCCTCTCCTTCTGGCCTGTTTCTTAAGATGCGGAACCACATTTCAGTGGTAGGAAAAGTGGCTTCGTAAAATAGAAAAGCAGTCACTGTGGAACTACCAAATGACAAGATGCTCGGTGCAAATAGGGGTGCTTTGGGATAAAAGATTTATGAGCCAACTATTCTGTGGCACCAGATTCTAGGCCAGTTTGTTCCACCGAAGCCTCTCCCACAGCAGTCCACCTCTGCAGGCTGGTGACCGAATGGCTTGTAAGTGGCTCTGTGGCAAGATCACACTGAGATCAGAAGGCTAGGATGCTTGTCTAGTGTCCTTAGCTGTCACATTGGGTCCTTCCAGGGTGGCCAGACAGTGTTGGTGGCCACTTCCTTCTAAAACATAGGCACCCTCCTGGTGACAGTGACCCGCCATGGTATGCCTTGGCCCATTCCAGCAGTCCCAGTTATGCATTTAAAGTTTGGGGTTTGTTCTTTTCGTTAATGTTACTCTGTGTTGTCAGCTGTCTTTTCATTTCCTGGGCTAAGCAGCATTGGGAGATGTGGACCAGAGATCCACTCCTTAAGAACCAGTGATGAAAGACACTTTCTTCACTCTGAAGTAGCTGTTGGTACAAATGAGAACTTAAAAGAGAGGATGTTATTTAGACTGAACCTCTGTTGCCAGAGATGCTGAAGATACAGACCTTGGACAGGTCAGAGGGTTTCATTTTTGGCCTTCATCTTAGATGACTGGTTGCGTCATTTGGAGAAGTGAGCGCTCCTTGATGGTGGAATGACCAGGTGGTAGGTACGGAACCATTGTCACAGGGATCCTGGCACAGAGAAGAGTTACGAGCAGCTGGGTGCAGGGCTTGGAAGAAATGTGGGCAATGTTTTGAACTTGTTGGTTTCTGAAGCTATCAGACCACATCAAGGCTCAGCAGTCATCCATGGGCATTTGGTTTCAACAAAGAAACCTAACATCCTACTCTGGAAACTGATCTCGGAGTTGAGGCGAATTGTTCAAGAACGCGAACTACATCGCACTCGTCAGTTGTCAGTTCTGGGGCATGACTTTAGGGTTTTATTTTGTTTCTGCAACAACATAATCACTCATTTGTATGTCCACGTGTGTGTGTCCGCATCTTTCTGGTCAACATTGTTTTAACTAGTCACTCATTAGCATTTTCAATAGGGCTCTTAAGTCCAGTAGATTACGGGTAGTCAGTTGACGAAGATCTGGTTTACAAGAACTAATTAAATGTTTCATTGCATTTTTGTAAGAACATAGAATAATTTTATAAAATGTTTGTAGTTTATAATTGCCGAAAATAATTTAAAGACACTTTTTTTCTCTGTGTGTGCAAATGTGTTTGTGATCCATTTTTTTTTTAGGACACCTGTTTACTAGCTAGCTTTACAATATGCCAAAAAAGGATTTTTCCCTGACCCCAGCCGTGGTTCACCCTCTTTTCCCCCCATGCTTTGTGCCCTAGTTTATAACAAAGGAATGATGATTTAAAAAGTAGTTCTGTATCTTCAGTATCTTGGTCTTCCAGAACCCTCTGGTTGGGAAGGGGATCATTTTTTACTGGTCATTTCCCTTTGGAGTGTAGCTACTTTAACAGATGGAAAGAACCTCATTGGCCATGGAAACAGCAGAGGTGTTGGAGCCCAGCAGTGCATGGCACCGTTCAGCATCTGGTTTGGTTGGTCTGGCTGCCGTCATTGTCACGCAGTGCCATGGACATGGGAAGACTTGACTGCACAGCCAATGGTTTTCATGATGATTACAGCATACACAGTGATCACATAAAAGATGACAGCTCTGGGGCACACAGGCCATTTGCTTACATGCCTCGTATCATGATTAATGCTTTTTGAAGGCAGAATCCCGAAGATAACATATCTCCAATACAGAAAACAATTCTTTTTAATACTACAGCATACACAAAAATTTGTTCTAAAGTTTGACTCCACTTCCTCTAACTCCAGTGGATTGTTGGCCATGTCTCCCAACTCCACAGTATCTCTGTTGTGGGAAACACCTGGGTTTTTGCACTACATGGGAGAAAGACCCGGAAACTATTTGGGTTGTTTTCAACTTTTCATTTGGATGTTTAGCGTTGCACACACACATCCACAGGTGGAAGAGACGCCTGGCGAAAACACCTGTCTGCTTTCTAAGCCAGTGAGGTTGAGGTGAGAGGTTTGCCAGAGTTTGTCTACCTCTGGGTATCCCTTTATCTGGGATAAAAAAATCAAACCAGAAGGCGGGATGGAATGGATGCACCGCAAATAATGCATTTTCTGAGTTTTCTTGTTTAAAAAAAGTTTTTTTAAAAAAGTAAAAAAAAAAAAAGGTAATAACATGGCCAATTTGTTACATAAAATGACTTTCTGTGTATAAATTATTCCTAAAAAAAACCTGTTTATATAAAAAATCAGTAGATGAAAAAAATTTCAAAATGTTTTTGTATATTCTGTTGTAAGAATTTATTCCTGTTATTCCGATATACTCTGGATTCTTTACATTATGGAAAAAAGAAACTGTCTATTTTGAATGGCTGAAGCTAAGGCAACGTTAGTTTCTCTTACTCTGCTTTTTTCTAGTAAAGTACTACATGGTTTAAGTTAAATAAAAGAATTCTGTATGCATTTCTATCTCTGGTTTTGTTTTGTCCCTCCTGGAAGCATCACCACACTTTGGTGGCAGGGAAGCTGAGCTACGTGGGGCACGTGTGTTCACGCATGTTGCCTGGAAGCATTCTCCACAAAAGCATTGCCTCTTCTCTGACAGCTGAGCTTTCTCAGCATGCAAATTGCTAGTGAAGACGACAGGGAAGCTATTCCATTTCTCACTCCATTAAATCAACTGGAAAGAAATTTGAATGCATAAATTACGGAAATCTGTACTGCAGTTCTGACTGATTTGTGGACTTTTTTCCTATACCTTCCACTAACAACAGTCAGGCCAAGGCAAGTCTGATCTGCATGACTCCAGGGCAGAGGACTTCAGTTCTTCACATTTCCCGTGTGCTTTTTGGTCTTTCACAGCTGACATGCCAGCCTCGGGGGATGCTGGTGAGAACCCAGTGGGCCACACACAGGATGCGGCTCACTGGAGGAGCTCCAAAGTCTTAGTTACTTTCTAGCTGCTGCTTAGTGATCTCTGTCTGCCCCAGGGACACTACAATGTAAATATTATTTTTGTCAGGGGAAATGGCTATGTATGGCAAGGTGCGAATGTTCTAGAATCAGACTAAGGATTCATAGACACATCAGGAGGAGAAGCTGGTCATTTCCCTCAACTTTATCATGGGAAAATAGCAAAATCAGGCCAGTAGAAGAAGAGCTGCCTAGCTATGTGTAGGTAGGAGAAGTAAACCAAAGACCATGGTTACTTCAGACCTGTTGAGCCTCAGAAGTGTTTGCACCTAAAAGCAAAAGGCCTTTCTGAAAGGGGACTCTCTGCTGGGCTCGGTGGCTCACGCGTGTAATCCCAGCACTTTGGGAGGCCGAGACAGGTGGATAACATGAGCTCAGGAGTTCGAGACCAGCCTGGCTAACATGGTGAAACCCCATCTCTACTAAAAATACAAAAAATTAGCAGGACATGGTGGCAGCTGCCTGTAATCCCAGCTACTTGGGAGGCTAAGGCAGGAGAATCACTTGAACTCGGGAGGCGGAGGTTGCAGTGAGCCAAGATCGTGCCACTGTACTCCAGCCTGGGTGACAGAGTGAGACGCCGTCTCAAAAAAAAGAGGGTACTCTCAAACTTTGCATTGCTTCAGGGTTACTGCTCACTGCTGTCACCAAGTGCCTGGCACTCAGGGGATCTTCATTAGGTGACTGATGACAAGGAGGTCTCAATTCTGAGGCTGGAAAGCCTAACAGGGCCTCCCTCTTTCCTGGGCAGGTTGGTGCTGCACTTGCAGGTTGCCACAGTGCGGTCTGCACTTGGCCTGCCCAGCCAGAAGGAGCAGCAATGTCTAAGGATGAAGGTGCTGGGTCTTTAGAAGCATTAGAACTTTTCCCCCTGTGCCATTTCTTAAGACTGCAAGCCCTCAAGAGCTGGTTCTTCATTTACCCTCCCCAAGTCCAGGTGGGCGGTTTTTGTAGTGTTCTAATGTTACTAAAAGACCTTCACATGCATTCTCTCACCAGGTGTTCACAATCACCCTGCAAAGAAAGGATTTTAATTACTCTTACAGATGAGCAAACATACAAGCATGCTCAAGACCCCCCTTCCCACCTCCCCGCCAACTATTAAATAATGACCAACCCAGGACTCCGCCTTTTCTGCTGTGGTTCTCAAACTGACTTCAGCACTGCCAGAACTAAGCAGGCTCTGTGCATACTGACAAGGGATGCTGGGCGAAGTACACAGCCCAGGATGTGAATGAGCCTTCTGGGGTTCTCCCTGGAGAACTTCAGAGGCCACAGTGGGGGAAATGATGGGGAAGTTCATGAAGAGGGAGCTCTGGGCCTCCCAAATGGATAATATCTAAAAATTTTAAAAATGTTATGGCATGTTGCCAAGGAGTCTGAAATATAACACTGGAGCCCAGTCCTGGGGGCCCCTTGCTTGACAGTGTCCTGGGACAGAATTGCCCATAGCACAAGCAGATCTCCACATTACCAACCAGGCAGCCAGACCTGTCCACGCCACCCAGCACCACCTCTCCCATCCCCCAACATGCGGGCTTTGATCGGTTTTCTAGCAAATGATCCAGGTATACTTGCAAAGGGAGTCCTCTAAAGGCCACTCCAAATGCAAAAAGTGTGCTGGCGGCCTTGACTGGTTCCTTTGGTTTTTCATCTTCTTGGGTTTTTCTTGTTTGTTTGTGGGTGGGTGGGTGTGTGTGTGTTTTTGAGATGGAGTTTTGCTCTTGTTGACCAGGCTGGAGTGCAATAGTGCAATCTCGGCTCACTGCAACCTCTGCCTCCTGGGTTCAAGCGATTCCCCTGCCTCAGCCTCCCGAGTAGCTGGGATTATAGACACCCACCACCACACCCGGCTAATTTTTTTTGCAATTTTAGTAGAGACTGGGTTTCACATGTTGGTCAGGCTGGTCTCGAACTCCTGACCTCAAGTGATCCGCCCACCTCGGCCTCCCAAAGTGCTGGGATTATAGGTGTGAGCCACCGTGCCTGGCCTGGTTCCTTTGTTAGGAAGCTGCAAATGCTTTTCTTAGTAGTGAATGAATCTGAACACTAAATGATGAATTTTTTAAATTTAGTAAAGTGAAAAATGGTAGCTGTAATCACACCAACAAGAAATTTCCCAGAGCTTAGCTATCTTCGCTCACTTCCTCCAAAAAAAAAAAAAAAAAGCAATGTTACCAATAGGACTCCCAACGGAAATCTGCCCCTAGAAAACACTGAACAGGTAGATTCTTGCTGGGAGAAGCCTGGCACAAGACCCAGCGCTGTGTCATAAAAGCAAAAGATAAAACAGAAAGGAGATTCTGTTTTTAAAAAGGGATGACACCGTGGAGAGAAGCTAAGCCCAGCTATTAACCTGTGCTTTAGGACCAAACACTACCAGTATGACTATAAAATGGTGCAGCTGCTGTGCAAAACAAAATGGCAGTTTCTTAAAAAATTAAACACAGAATTAGCATTGAATCCAGGCATTCACCTCTGGATGTTTACCTGAAAGCAAGGACTTGGACACATATTTGCACACCAGTGTTTGTAGCAGCATGATTTGCAACAACCAAAAGGGGCAAGTAACATAAGCGTTCATCTAAAGATGAATGGATAAACAAAATGTGGTCGATACCTACACTGGAATATTATTCAGCCTTCAAAAGAATGAAATCCTGTCCCATGCTACAACATGGACGAACCTGGAGGACATGAGGCTGAAATAAGCCAGATGCAAAAGGACCAGTGCTGCATGACTCCCTCATGTGAGCTACCTAGAGTCAGATTCATAGGGATGGAGGGTGAAATGGTGGGCGCCAGGGGGCTGGGAAGAAGAAGGAATAGGGAGTTAACAGGTACAGAGTTTTGGTTTGGGATGAGGAGAAAGTTCTGGAGATGGATGGTGGTAACGGTTGTGCAACAAGTAAATGTACTGTATACTACTGAACTGTAAGCTTGAAAATTATTAAAATGAGTAAGTAATAAAAGGGGCAAACACAGAGACAGAGAAATCATACAGTAGAGCCTCAGTGGCTTCAAGGCTACCCAGGACCTGGACACACAAGCTCTAAGGCAAGGAATGGGGCCCCTGGAGCAGTGGCTGTCTCTATGCTTCTGTAAGCCTCTCCAAAACAGGTTTGTGGTCCCCGTAGTCTGGGCAGGATCACATAGACCCACTGTGTAGATTTTTACAAGAAAACAGATGACTTGGATTTCATTTTATTGTCATGAAAACCGTAACTGAAGCTAGTTCATCCAGTGAAATGTCCACCTTTCAGAGTGTTCTTTCTCCCGACAATAAAGTAGCCCAACAAAATCACAAAAAGTTTTTCCCCCTCTTTGTCTTACAAGCAATTTTTGAAAAAGTTTCTCAATGCACAGCTGAATGCTACACACAGGATTGAAACGTTTGATCTTCTCTAAAGGAGCAATGCCCCGGTCAGTTCCCTTTGGCTGGTAGCACCATGGTTGAGTTTTCTTCGAACCGGGCTTTGCACTCAGGCTTTCCCACACTCTTCCAGCATTTCCTGGATGATGACTTGCAAGGCTCTTCCCAGCAGGCTGGCTGGGAGCCCACGCGATAGTGGAGGGACATGAATGAGTGCCGCGCAGCCCTTTCCATGATGCAGAGAGAGGTAATAGGTATAATCACAGACGTATCTGCAACCACAGGAAATGCCACATTAATTCTTGGACCAGCCTCTAACCTCAGTGAAACATAAGCAGCAGGGGCAATGCAACACCCACAAAGCCTGAGGAGGGAGGACTGACACCCAAGGGAGACTTAAGTTGTGTTGTTTCACCTCAGAAAGAACACCGTGCTGGGGATGAGGTGGGGAGAGCTGGCTCTTGGCCTCATGATCTCATGACCAGCAAGTGACCAAGACAGAAAGGGTTTAGATATTCCACAAACCAGTCCATAACACCGGCATCCCAGTGAATCCCTGTCATTCATGTCTTCCTGAGTCACTTACTCATTCATTCCTTGGGGAAAGGGGAAACTACCTACTGGGGATCAGAGCTTGGAGAAACAAAGGTAAATCAATCTTTATCTGGGGCTACATCAACATAGTTAACTCACAACTTCGGTCACCCCAAAAATCAAAATTAGAAAACATTCACGAAATGTTAGTGGCTCTTGAAGTCTGCCTTCCCATCTCTTCTCCTAGATCCACACACCAAAGACCATGTTTCCACAGGGAGGTCTCACAAACGAGCCCCCAGGCAAGGTGTTAGCAACTGTGCTGACCTGCACGCAGCAAAGAGGGGCGATCTGGGGGCAGCGCCGCATGGCCAAGTGGCCGGCTGGATGGTACAGGATGGCTTCTTGGAGGCTGGGGGGATGCCGAAGGCCATTGCTTCTCTCCTACCCGCTCAGGGGCCTAACAAACACCCACAGAGCATACCTGCCTGCATCTCGAGAAAATAGCACCTCGACATCCTCCACAGCTACGTGCTTGCAGACTGCCTTCATGCAGACCCCTGACTCCAACATGTCTGGGCCGCCAGGTAGGCACACGCCGCCCTCTGGCCGGAAGCCCCGGATGTCGGTGTCCTGGTAGCCTTGGTTCTTGCCAGACTGTTCCAGAATGATCGCCTTGGCGCAGGTGTCCATGCCCACATGCACGACGAGCTATGTGAACAGGCAACAGCAGAGAGACCCCAGGAAAATGAGGCCCACGCTGCTCACCAAATGTGCAGGAGGGCCACTCCTTTAGCTAGCCCGGCTCCGTGCCAAACGTCTCAAACCCCAAATCCACTGGGAAACCCCAGGATCCCCCACTAGTGTCTCCTAATTAATATGGCTGGAAAGAAAAATAGCTGGATTCTTTTGGCTGAATAAAAACTCGTGCTGCATTTACATTTAAATACTTTTTACTTCAAATTATTCTTACAGGGCAATGTATTCTCTTTTTGTAGGGGGAGGGTTGGAGGGAGGAGAGGCAAGCTGGTTAAGTGGTGAGGCAGAGCCTTCGTGTTTTGGTGGAAACCTGCATCATTTTATTTTATTTTATGTATGTATTTATTTATTTTTATTTTTGTGAGACAGAGTCTGGCTCTATAACCCAGGGTGGAGTGCAATGGCACCATCTCAGCTCATTGCAACCTCCGCCTCCTGGGTTCAAGTGATTCTCCTGCCTCAGCCTCCGGAGTAGCTGGGACTACAGGTGCACCACCATGCCCAGCTAATTTTTGTATTTGTAGTAGAGACAGGGTTTCACTATCTTGGCCAGGCTGGTCTCAAACTCCTGACCTCAAGTGATCCGCCTGCCTCGGCCTCCCAAAGTGTTGGGATTACAGGTGTGAGTCACCGCGCCCACCTCCTGCATCTTTTTTAAAAATGAAACTTAATAAAGGAAGTTATAGCAGTCCAATGAAATCTTAGAATTTATTAAAGCTGATTATTTTTCCTTTTAGAAAAATAGCTGCCCAGGTATTTTATCAAAACATCTGGGGCACTGTCTGAATGGCTTGATAGTGTATTTTTTTGTTTGTTTGTTTGTTTTTTTGAGATGGAGTCTTGCTCTGTCGCCCAGGCTGGAGTGCAGTGGCACTATCTTGGCTCACTGCAAGCTCCACCTCCCAGGTTCACGCCATTCTCCTGCCTCAGCCTCCCGAGTAGCTGGGACTACAGGCACCCACCACCATGCCCAGCTAATTTTTTTTGTATTTTTAGTAGAGACGGGGTTTCACCATGTTAGCCAGGATGCTCTCGATCTCCTGACCTTGTGATCCACCTGCCTCAGCCTCCCAAAGTGCTGGGATTACAGGCAAAAGCCACCGTGCCCAGCCTTGATAGTGTATGTTTTATTAACCTCATCATCTGGTCCTTGTTTGGGGAATTTTTTTTGGGGGGGTGAGGGTATACCTGTTTTATATACAGTAATTATGTCCAGATAAAATGGGCTGGGTGCTATGAAGATGGGCCTCCCCCAGGTTGGCCACCCTCCCAGTCGTTCCCTGGGCACAGAGGTCCTTGCCTCATGCCCACCTTCAAACCTACCTGCCCCTCATGGGTATGGATGGGGCCCAACCCAAGGGCCTCTCCCTTAGGTGGAAACTATTTTTGAGTCCTGGCTGGGAATAATACTTCCATTTCTTTTCCTCCTCCTTTCTCTCCAGATTTTCTATTAAGACCTACTCCATATTTTGGCTTAAACTTTTACAAACAGACCCAGAACCTTACACAATCAGCTGGGACCTTGCAGGACTGGTGGGGCCTGGGGACGGGGTGCCCCTCAACCATCAACCCTAGAACCAGGGCCCAGGGGTCTCAGGCTCCAGCTCCACCACATCGCCAGCCCCATGCCCCGCTGCCTCCCGCCATCATTTACTTGTGGCTGATGATCTTCCCAGATTCCGGTGACCCTCTGCTTAGCCTCCCTGTAGTCTACAGGCAGCTCCAGAGTCCGCAGCTGCACCACTGTGTCATTCCCCAGGCCCAGCTTGGAGAGCTCCTGCGGAAAGCAGCAGGTGGACTTGCCTCAGCTAATGGTGGGGGGGCACCAGGCGTCCCTGAAAACCCAATCCTTGGGGTCTACTTCTGGGGTCTCCCGTGGCCTGGACTTTGCCCTCAAGTGGCCACAAAGTGGACTTGCCACAAAGTGGCAAGGAGCCAAGAAGAGAGTCACAGTTCCCACCCAAGAGGCAAATGCACACAGCAGCACCTATCTAGGAGGGAACACAAGAGAGGCACGTCTGACAGCCATGTTTGCCAAGGGGATGCAGGTGAGGTCTGTGGACAGGCGGGAGTGAGCCAGATGGAGACGCTGGGGAAGAGTATGCCAGGCAGAGGAAGCTGCAAGGGCAGAAGACATCAGCAGAACCTGAGGCCTGGCCGGGAACAGTGGCTCACGCCTGTAATCCCAGCACTTTGGGAGGCCAAGGCAGGCGGATCATGAGGTCAAGAGATCGAGACCATCCTGGCCAACATGGTGAAACCCCATCTCTACTAAAAATGCAAAAATTAGCTGGGCTTGGTGGCGCGTGCCTGTAGTCCCAGCTACTCAGGAGGGTGAGGCAGGAGAATCGCTTGAACCCAGGAGGCAGAGGTTGCAGTGAACTGATACCGTGCCACTGCACTCCAGCCTGGCGACAGAGCGAGACTCCATCTCAAAAAAAAAAAAGGTGGCCGGGCGCAGTGGCTCACGCCTGTAATCCCAGCCGAGACGAGAGGATCACGAGGTCAGGAGATCGAGACCATCCTGGCTAACACGGTGAAACCCGTCTTTACCAAAAACACAAAAAATTAGTCGGGTGCAGTGGCGGGCGCCTGTAGTCCCAGCAACTTGGGAGGCTGAGGCAGGAGAATGGCGTGAACCCGGGAGGCGGAGCTTGCAGTGAGCCGAGATGGCGCCACTGCACTCCAGCCTGGGTGACAGAGCAAGACTCCGTCTCAAAAAAAAAAAAAAAAAAAAAAAAGAACCTGAGGCCTTTGGGGAACTTGGCGTGACCTGGTGTTCCTGGCAAGGCTGAAGGCTTCTTCCGTGTGTCTTGCGTGCCTCAGGACAGGACATTTTGCACCCCTGGACTCTAACAGCATCCGCAGATATTTTGACAAGGAACCCACCACCTCCACCCACCTCCAGTGCCAGGGAGTACTGCACACCAGGGAAGGCTGGGAACAGACACCGGGGCAGTCTGTGGAAGCCAGACTGAGAGCTTAGCTCAGTGTGAACTTTATTCTTAGGACAACTGGGAGCCATGGAAATGTACTCAAGAAGCTAATGAGCCAGAGCTGCTTCCTAAGGGGATAGAGGAGAAGGCAGAGCTGGCTGGGGATATCATGCCGGTGACTGGGGTCCTGCCAAGTTTGAAGTGCCCAAGGAGGCTGGCCTCTTGGCTGTTGTGTGTCTAGAGCTCACAGACAGGCTTCTGGGAGGACACTGCCATGTCTGGGCAGCAAAACCTATAGGTTAGGTGAGACACAGAGAGAGAGACAGAGAGAGAGAGAGAGATTCAGAGAGAGAGACGGAACGGGGAGGAGGTGAGGGGCTGTGGAGCCCCATTTGGCAAGGAAGAAAAGAAGCAGCGCAAGAGCTTAGAGCTGTGCGTTTCACTCTTGGTAAAAGTCACATCAGGAACGTAACACCATCTCCAAAAGGCCCAGCCCTTTCCCAGCACCAGGAGCTATGCTTATCATCAAGATGGTTTTCAATTTACGCCTCTGTTTTTCCTGACTACTTTCCTGGCATTTCAGGGCACTCGGGAGAATGCTTTCTCGGACAGATAATGGCCAAGCCAGTCTGTCTGGCCTGTCCCAAGATCCCAGATAGGAAGTTCCAGGCCCCTGCCTAGGCCTCAGAGGAGTCACGTCTACCCGGATGCTGCAGAGCCAGGTGGGGACGACATGCCCAGATGAGGCTTTGCCTGGGCTGCCTCATCCAGGAGTGGGGTGGCCAGTTTCTGGCATCTTGGGTCTGTCCTTGATCAGCTCAGCCTCCCTGCGGGGCTCTGCTCCACCCTCCAGACACCTGCTCAGTTCCCTCCCCAGCTCAAGCTTTGTTCTCTTCCAAAAATCAATGCCAAGACCAGCATCCCCACTGGGGCCCTGGCGGGGAGATCACTGGCCTGACTGTGATGGTGGGAGGCAAGAAGGAGGGCCGGGTAAGCACAGGGCAGTGGGCTGTGGGGCCCAGGAGGAAGGGGCTGCAATTCCAAGTGGACCTCTCCAGGCCCAGACAGACCAAAGGGGCTCCAGGCAACCCTGCATTCTAGGTCTTGTGCCGCCATCCATCTTGGGCCTTCTGTCCTGAGGGTACCTGTGAGGCTGGGCATGGAGGGGGCACACTTCAAGGAGTGGGGACAGGAAGCCATCACGCTGGGGTCCCCTTCAGCTCTGCCAGAGGATCGCTTGAACCCAAGAGGCAGAGGTTGCAGTGAGCCAAGATCCCGCTGTTGCCCTCCAGCCTGGGCGACAGGGCAAGGCTCCATCTCAAAAAAAAAAAAAAAAAAAAAAAAAAACAAGAAAGAAAAGAAAAGAAAGTGATATTTATTAGAATCTGATGAGCCCGGGGCCGGTCGGAAGCAGAGAGAACACTCTGCACAAGCAGACTGCGGGCCGCGGGCTGCAGCCACTCTTTCTGCCAAGAAGGGCTGGTTGTTTTAGCAAAGGGCATGTCGGTTCCATGCAGACCTAGGAGAGCCAGGGCTTCATGTTTTCTGAACTGGCACACTTTCTCGGCTAGAATTTCAGAGTGTTTTGTGCTAACACAGGGAGGACAGAGCCGGTGAAACCACTGTCCGCAGAGTGAAATCCAGGGCATTGCTGAAGCTGCAGGAATGAGCCGGCTCAGCAGGGCGCTGTGTGCCCAGCCCACAGTCCCTCGAAAAGGCGTGAACCTCCCCACCTACAAAGGTCCCGAGGAAGCAGAGAGCCCTGCCTTTGGCCTCTTTCTCTCACTTCTTCTGAATTCCACGTCTCCCGAAATCCAGTTGCCAGGAACACATGGCAGTTTAACAAAGGGAACTGAAGGAAGGAAAAAGACACCAGTTGCTCTCTGAATTTGTTCAAATCCATTGAGGCTGTGGCACCAGCTGGTGTTGAAAAACAGTTGCTGTTTTTCCAAGATCTGAGTCTTCTCTTATCAAATATGAGTTCGGGGCTAGCACCAGAATGCATGAATGCATTCATTTATTGAATTGTTCCAGAAAACTCCCTGAGAGCCTGAAATGCAGCCTCAGCTCATGGATCCATGATGGAGGCTCGTGATCTTGGAGATATGTGAACTAGAAGCGGGCAGGGCTGGGCTACAGAAGCTGAGGGTGAGGACTCAGGGTGAGAGAGAAGGAGACCAAGCCCCCCTGCTTCCCCTCACTGCTGTGAGAGTTTGGGCAACTCATTGTAGTTTTCTGAGCCTCAGTTTCCCTATCTGTGCATCACAGTAATAACAGGACTTTGACAAAGGTAAGCGAGGCCATGCAGGTGAAGGGCTGCATGAGGGGAAGGCTCTGTGACCAGGGCTTGGAGGATCAGTAGGAGTCTTCCAGCAAAATAACTTTTTTTGTTGTTGTTGTTGAGACAAAGTCTTGCTCTATCACCCAGGCTGAAGTACAGTGGCACCATCTCGGCTCACTGCAGCCTCTGCCTCCCGGGTTCAAGTGATTTTCATGTCTCAGCCTCCTGAGTAGCTGGGATTACAGGTGCCCACCACCACACCCAGCTAATTTTTGTATTTTTAGTAGAGATAGGGTTTCACCATGTTAGCTAGGCTGGTCTCAGACTCTTGACCTCAAGTGATCCTGCACCCTTGGCCTCCCAAAGTGCTAGGATTATAGGCATGAGCCACCGTGCCCGGCCCCAGCAAAATAACTATCCACAGAGCAAGAACAGTGAGGCTTGAAAGTATGTGCGAAGACCTTCCTTCCTTTTTTTCCTTTTTTTCATCCTTTCTTCCCCTTTCTTTCCCTGCCCTTCTACCTTTTCTTCTTTACTTCCTTCTTTCTTTTCATGTTATCTTCTACCCATCAGTCATGGGACATGGATGAGGCACCTACTGCTTGCAGTCTCTGTGCTAAGCTCTGGCTGAGGGTTTTGGGGTATGTGTTGTGGAAGGGAGGTCAGGGTGACAATGGAAGAGGGTGAGATAATGTGTTCCTTTTCACCGGATGGGTTGGAAGGGACCTGGGATTTGGGAGCCATCCCATGTAGCTGAGACCCAGGCCTGGCCTCCAACACCATCCAGGCTGGAAGCTCCATGTGAAGACAGAAGTTACTGTCAGAGCCAGAGGCTCACCAGGCACAGGAAAAGGAGCATGAGAGATGAGAGGAGGCCAGGCAGAGCAGGGAGGGGAGAAGGTGTAGGACAGCTATCAGGGGAGCAGCAGGCAGCCATTAAAAACGACGTATAAAGCATTGATTGACATGGGAAAGCCCTGGAGAAGGAAGAAGTTTAAAAATCAGGGTCTCATCCCAGCACTTCGGGAGGCCGAGGCGGGCGGATCACAAGGTCAGGAGATCGAGACCACGGTGAAACCCCGTCTCTACTAAAAATACAAAAAAATTAGCCGGGCGCGGTTGTGGGCGCCTGTAGTCCCAGCTACTCGGGAGGCTGAGGCAGGAGAATGGCGTGAACCCGGGAGGCGGAGCTTGCAGTGAGCCGAGATCGCGCCACTGCACTCCAGCCTGGGTGACAGAGCCAGACTCCGTCTCAAAAAAAAAAAAAAAAAAAAAAAAAAAAAAAAAATCCGGGTCTCAGACTGTTGCCTGCAGCCATGGATGGAAATGGAGCAAGACTGAAATGGTCATCCCCTGAGGGAAGAACTGGGGCTGATTCCCGTTTCTTGCTATACTCTTCATAAGATTTTTATAATGAATGTGTATGTACCATATCTCTGGTTTTAAAAAGAAGGGTTTCAAAATAGTCCAGTAATCCTACTAGCTGTCTCTGGAGGACCCTTACTGTGTGCAGGCACCATGCCAAACACCTCGCCACGACCCTCTTGATGAAGTGCTGAT